TGGGAAGACTGAATTAACACTGTGTAGCTGTTAGTTTGTTAGTTCACAGCTCTTTGTCATTCCACTGTTGGATGACGGCTTCCCCCCCCACCCCTTTCGTCAGTTGCGGGCAGTTGTTGGACCGGTTCGGATTTCACTCGTGAAATTAATAAACCATGCTTGCTCGGTGGTAATTTTAGTAAACGCCTTGAAAACAAACTCAGTCCTGTGCACGCCCCTCCGATTGCACACCACTGGTAGCTTATGGGTCAGGGTAATACATTGTAGTCGACGTTGCGGGCTCTTGTATTTGTCCTCGGTTTTTGTAGCCTCCAGAAATGTGAAAGGGATTTACATTACTGAAAGTTGTGCACACTTCTCTGACTTCCTGAAAGAAACGCGATTGGGAATCCCCCCCCCCCCCATGCAGTAGGGAGCAAGAAAAGTTGCCCGACTGAACTTTCATCGTTGAGCAAGATGATGGGGCTCTGTGGGACAAAACTCAATGGATTGCGCCAACCAGACTATGTAGAAGTCCTGGCGCACTAACTGGAGAAATGGAGCCGTAAATCGGGCATGAGGTGGAACGCAGCACGCGGTTGTGAATGGTGGAGATGCCTTCATCGAGCGGTGGATTGAATTGGATAATTCTGTTGGAATAGGTAGATTTAGATGGATATTGTTTATTTCGGCAGGGAGTTCCCAATAAGCCTTGAGGTTCTTATTTCATGGGTGTCCTGCCTATGAGCGAGTACTCCATCCTTGTTGGTCAAAACTAAAACTAAACTCTTTTTTATTTTACCAGGTAAGACCCACTTAAGCTGTGTAGATCATTTTCAGTAGCGACGTGGGCTACGTGATAGCTCAACGAAGTGGCTTCAGGGTCAAACCTACGAACTCCAGCATACCAGGCGACGGAGTTAACATCTCACCACCTCGGTGCCCATGCATTAAGCTAAACAAATGCAAACATGGCATCAAATGCAATTGTGAGAGGCTTTAGGAACCCGGGTGCAGCGTGCAGGAGAGTTGTTATATTTTCATAACAAGTGTGAATTTTCATTTTAACCAAAAATTACGTCTAAATTACTACCACCGAAGCGAAAGCGTCAATTGTGGCGAACTGCGCTTCGGCTCATCGTTCGCATCCACTCAACACAGGGCAGTTGTGGCTCAAAGTGGCTCGGGATTGTTTAGAAGGTGGCCACATGAATGTAAACAGCCACTCATAGAGTTATTCCTAGTCATCCCCTATGGGACATAAGGCCACAGATTACTTCTCTCCACTTCTTCCCATCAGCCTCTCTGGACTTCACCGCCGACTTGCCGATGAAGTCTGCATTCCAGAAGACGAATATCCCCCTGCACACCGTGGCATGTAACACCAAATATATATGCCCCCAGTTGCCAATACCCAGTTTGTGTCGGTTATAATATTTAGAAGCATTTATAAACGTGAACATCGGTGGAGTTGCTTTTGTTAATCTTAGGAACTGTTTATCTTGGGTCAGCGTTTTCCTGGCGGTTTGATACCCCACCCAGTGCTCTGTAGTGTTGAGACTGCGAGGCTGGTATTCCACACTGCTTCACATCGATGAGCTGACCCGAGCCAAAAGAGTTTGCACACCCGCACACTGCTTGGCGATGAAGTGTGCAACATGCGTGTATCGCATGCAGTCCGCCACGTGGCAAAGAGGGGCGGCGGGTAGGGGGGGAGTGAGTGACCTTCGGAGCCTTCGTCTTGTAGCCTTCGCCGCATCAAAGCGTTGGGCCGCTTCAAAGCGCGCGCCCACTCGGCCTTCGCTGCTGGATTCCTGCTGCTGCATTCTGGCCTTGTTATTGCTGCAGTTGAAAAAAAAAATGCTACTTGGCGGTCAGCATGGATGTGGACAAAACCAGTGCAGTGGTGGTGGCGTCTGGCTAGATCGATCTTTCGTAATGGTCTGGTTTCGTAATGGCGACGGGGCTGGCAAACCAGGCCGTTTAGCAACTGTGTTATTGCGCGTTGGCCCCTCTGTTGAATGAACTGGAAGTCGGTACAGTATTGCCTCGTTATTCATGAATTTGCCGTTCGCGATTTTGGCTGTCCGCAAATCGCATCTGGAACTTTACACGACCACTGCATTGAGCGAAAGTGATGAGAGAAAGTAATGATGAGAGAGAAAGTGATGAGATAAAAAGAACTTCTCTAAACTGTAGAAGCGTCTGCAGACGTTGCGAGTACGATATTCGTAGACCAATATTATCTGCGAAATTTTCTATTCACGAACATCTCCGGAACGTATCCCTTGTGAATAACGAGACAATACTGTATAACTGTACTGGCTGGTTTGGTTCTGTGCTGGCACGTGCCGGAATGCTCGGTACAGTACATTGACATGCGATATTTTACCACGCGAAATACGCAACTAAGAACTCGCTTTTGACGTTGAACAGTTCAACATCTAGGCCCAAATTTAATGGTTTTGGTATTTTTTGTATAGTAAGGTAATGTTGGTTGCTTCTGACTCGGGATTTATTTGCCTGTATGCGTGGAAGTGTTGGCCATGCACGCGCAGGGCAAAACTAGTCGGCAAAGTCTGGCTGCGTATCCTCAATAAAAACACCGATGGCATCGAGGCTTGAAGATGATATATTGTGCAAAGTTGTAATGTGTCGAATATGCTTACATTTGAACGTGTGAATTGTGCACCGTACTTGGGTGTTTTAGAATCGCGCAAACGTGTATATATCTAACCAGCCGAGGGCCCAGCGTCCATGTTGCAATGGGAGACCTGAGGGAAAAGCCATTGCAAAACGCCACGGCACGAGCCAGAGTTGATCTTGCAAACTCCATGGGGAGGCGGCTTGCCTCATGATTTAGAGTCAATGAAGCCGTCATGTGACACATGGATGGGGCCAGTCATGGGCTCACCAGATTTAGACGAACTGGCAACCCGAGGAAAATTTTACTTTTGTGTTGGCCACTGCCCACTACAAACAACATTTCAGGGTTTATTAGAGCACGTGTAAGGCCGATAAAAGTCTTCCTCCTGCCTGGCGAGTGATCTTTGAGTTGGCGGCCAGCGACATTGATTAATCCGGAGTTGAAATGGCTTCTTCCATCGAGTTGAAGCAGGTCTTGCTGGCTGCCTCCACTGGGTGTGGCTATTCGAGTTAATGGAAGGGCATATGTGGGCATCTGATAGCTGCCACAATTAACCGCCGGTTTTAAAGCAGACAAGTAATTTTTTAAACACGAACAAAGCTGCGTTGGACTGTTGACGAGGTCTGTCTAAAGTTGAGTTGAGGACATTCAAAAACGGTTATGGAACAATGCTTCCGACGCATCTGAAACAAGAAGCATGCTGCTGTTGTATGTCTCCATAAAACGAATACACCCTTGCATAAATGGGGTGGCGCTGTTCTTGGTGTGTGCCTGTATTCCCATGAAGTTGTCCTCTATGGTGGTTCTCCCATTGTGTGGATTTCTCTTCCCCCACTGTGCTCTGGGGGGTGGGGGGGGGCTCTGACTGCCCAGTGCCCCTTGTGGAATGCTTGGAATTTTGTTGCGTTTGTGTGCACATTGTGCACGTGGAAGTCATCGACCGCTCTCGCTCGCTTTGGGGCAGATGTGAGACATTGTGGCAATGCGGCCCGTAGTGGGTGAGGGGGGTGGCTCGAGAGAGTAATGTAGGAGGGGGTAGGAAACATGCGTGTTGACTTCTTTGACCTGTTTCTTTACCATAACAATGGCTAATCGGGTGCTTTGTTCACGGCCTTACTTTTATCCGTTATTCAAGCCCCCTCCCCCCCCCCCACGTAAAACCTTAGTGGTGGTGGCTCAGTGGCTTGCAGTCAGGTTTTGAGTCCAAATCCTGGTTGGGGGTGGTGACCCATCCCCTCAATCCTCCAGAGGCGGTTATTAAAGTGAGAACCACCTTATGGTTTAAGTAGGGTGGTGCCTGTGGACAGTCTTTCTCCCCATCATAGGAATGTGAAATGTTCACCACTGGCTCGGGGATGTAAACAGGAGATGAGAGCACTGTTTCTACCCAGTTGAGCAGGGGAATCTCTGACTTTTGTTTTAATTGTGAAATGTAGGAATTGTGTACGCAAGTGTGTGGTTACCCGCAGTTTACCGTGTTATTGTCCACGGGTTGTTGCTCACTTGAGGTCGGACGTGTTGCTTCATCCTGCGGTTGTGGAACTTAAACCCCCCCCCCCCCCCCAGTGCACTGTGACTCGGTGCCTGTGCACATTTAATCTGTAGAGAGTCACGCTTGTGTTTACCGGGGTCGTTTTAACCACTCGCTTCATGTCCGTACAGTACTTTTGAGTCGCGAAGCAGCCATTAATCAGAGTTTCTGTTGGCTGATTGGCATTCATAGCTCAATGCGCTGACCAGCGTGGTGTGTATCACATGCTGTGGCATGTGTCTCGCTGTAATATGCCTTGGAATATTACACTTGAGACACGGGAACAGGAACGCATGGATTATGGAACGTTTGCAATTTAGAAACAGTGGGCTTGAGCAAGGTCACCTTAAAACCAGTCACAAGTTCAAATAATGTAAATCGCCACTGCCCATGATTCATCCGCTGCTGGATGAAGGCAATGCAATGATCCAATTGGCTATCAATGGTGAGTGGAAGTTTGAAAAGGAATCTTGCCTGAGGTTTTAGTTTTTGATAACTGATGTGTTAATTATTATAGCCGCCTTTAAAGACGAGAGTAGAATATCAGAATTTCAGAAGCTTCAGCTTGTAAATAATTGATCACCTTTGTACGACAAGGATACGAAAAAATAGCATACTTTCGTGTACCATACCTGTTGAAAAAGTATCTTGGCGTAAGATCATACCGTACTAAACCAAAGAATCCCATACTGTAATTTCTTACCGTACTGTACTGCCGCCCTTGCTGTCCAGTTCTGTGAAAGACCGCTGTCTTATCGTGTAGTTCCTCTTCTTGAGAGTATCTCTTCGGCGCACTCGCTGACCGTTCTCCTCCCGCCCGTGCGTGTGTTTCTGGCTGTGCAGGCAACACGTTCTACTCCGGAGCGGCCGCGCAGGCCGTGCCGCCCTATAGTCTGCAGCAGCCGCCCTTTGTGCCCATCTCCCACGCACAGCAGCAACAGCAGCAACAGCAGCAGCAGCAACAGCAGCAGCAACAACAGCAGCAGCAAAATGCCATGGCGTCGCAGATGAAGCGGGAGAGAAAGCAGGTACAGACCTCACGCATTCGGATGCCTGGGGCACGGTCGTGTAGGTCTCTGGTTGGGAGTCCGGTGCCATGTCCACGTAGGGCCCTTTCACTACTTGACATTCTGGCCAAGTGCGCCAGCGCAGGAGCGAGCTGCCCTGCAATCGCAAGGTTGCGATTTCAAATCTTGGTTTTTGGGGGGTTGACACCAGCCCATCATCCCTTTGGGGCCTATAAAATATCCATTATTTTGTGGGGAGGTCAACAGTCGTTTTTCGAATGATGAAAGAGACTCTCCGCCTCCATAGGAAATTGAAACTTACACAATCGTTGCCTTTTAGGCAAGCTAATGGGTCCTGGAGTGGAAAGGTAAGTCCTCTGTACGGGACTCCCAGAGTCATATAACACCTGGTATACAGGAGGTCATGAGTATCATCCTGACCCTGACGCTTGTATATTTGGAGTTTGCATGTTCTCCCTGTGGTCGTGTGACTTTTCCTCCGTGTCCTCCGGTTTTTCCCCTCCACATTTGGAAACATGCCCTAGGAGTATTTGGCTGCTATACATTTCCACGGGATAAGTCACTTCGTTGACCTATCAATTGTGGCCAGGTCGCTTCTGACAACGCTACATAGCTCAGTGGGGCCTTAACTGGTAAAATAAAAATAGTTAATAGTTTTACATGGATGACTCTACTGTACTGATGAGGCCTAACGAGGGTGAAACTGGTCTCCATTTGTTTAATTGCTGCTTGTTGGGACAGCCACATGTTTGCAACTCTTTGAGTTGGGGGAGCCTCAGACGATTTGCCCCCCCCCCCCCCACCACTTCAAGTTATTTTGAGCTGTGGTGGTCTGGGTAAGTATTGAGAGCTTTGGCAAATGCATTGCAAATCTTTGCGTGTTCAATATATTTTTGACCATCTAATTTTGACAATTGACATCGTGTGGTTGGGCAATTGCCCAATGGGTGTAGACAATCCGAAGTGGTTTTGCAGCCTCGCTGTCCGCAGGGATTGCGAGACATTTGTGGTGCTCTCACTTAAGGGGAGGGGAGGTCACTCAACGTGAGGCCATTCTTGCCGCTTGTCCAGATTCCAAGCATGTGCAATTGTGGAGGAATTGGTAGGTTGAAAAACGAAAAAGACCAAAATATATTTACCATAACGAAATGAATGCAAACTTGGAGTCGGACAACGTTACGTCTCCACTCGGCTCTTGGACCCCACGCGAGTGAACAGTGGGGGCACTCGGCTTCGTCAACCCAGCAAGTGCTTTCAACTGCCGAAATAGCTCGTGCTGCCTTGGACGCTCCCAAGTGTTGGGAACAGCCATACAATTCGTATTAAACTGTAATTTGCCGGGCCAGCTTCAGGCTCGCTAACGGTGCTTGGTCTGGACGGAGGCATGTTCCCGCTGATCATCGTCCTGGGTTCCGCAATTCCGCTGTGGGGTGAGGCTGCGTTTGCCTGTGCGCTCGCAACTCAAAGCGCCGTCATGCTCACGACATCAAAAGTGGTGGGTCCCCTGCCTGCGTCGTGCCAGGATTAAATTGGCAATTGGCCCCCGGGTGATGGCCTTGTTACCTGTAATGTTTGTCACGCCAAACAACCGATGTACTCAACGTGTAAATGTAGGCCTCGCGTCACGGTAATTAGAACGGCCTTAACGCTTTGGACGGCGGTTTGTGAGGTCGGAAAACATTCTGCGTCTTTTTGCGATTGCCATTTACTGTGCGAGTGTTTGCGTGAATGCTTGCTATGCCCTCGGGAAAGTATGGTGTTTTTACGCCACGCATGCGATTGTTTTGTGTTCAATGAAGAAAGGTGGGGCTGCTCTCTCTAAATCACTTGCATTTTATCATCAGAAACGTGTTGATTCGTGTGATCTTAATTACGACATAGCCCAAAGTAATCTTATGTTACTGTGCGACAGATGGTCACGTTGTGTTACGATGGGGTAGTAGTGCCAGTTATAAAACATGGGAGTGCCAGGCGCCCATTGGCACGGGGGCGCGTGTAGATGGTACGAGTACGGTTGTAATGATGTGCACGCGCACATTTACGCGTGGAGCGTGGCAATGTTCGCATGCCCATTAACTTTTCGGGAATTCGGATTAAACGAGGTGCTTGGTTAGGAATGCCATGCCGGAAGAGGAATGTCTCAGGCAGGATTTACAGTGCGATGAGCGGGCCCGCGTGCTGTCGCGGTTGAAACGCAGCATTGAGTTGCGACAGTTGGGGGGGGAGGGCGAGAGTTGCATTCCTTGGGGCGCTATTTTCTGGGTGGGTTGCAGGGAACGCAGAGGGAGGTCGGGGAGTTGCTCTGATTGATGCGTGGGGGGGGGGTGTTGGTTCTCGTGTGGTGTGGCTTTGTTAGAAAGACTGGTTGTAAACCAGCCCCATCCAGTGACTGTACCAGTCATGCAGGATGTAATGCATGCGGTACCACGCAATTTGCGTTAATTCTGTGGGGACGCACCCGCAGAGTGGGTTGTGGGGGGGGGGCAGCCCTTTTTTTTCTTTGCCGGGGCATTTTGTGTGCGAGCGCCCGTTGATGAAGCTTCACCTCTGCAGTTGTGTGAACGCAGCTGTGAGCCAGCAGCTGATGTAGTTGCATTTTCCAATAGATTCGAATCAGAGATCCAACACAAGGGGGCAAAGATATAACGGAAGAAATCATGTCCGGGGGCGGAACCACACGTAACTCTACCCCTCCGTCTCGGTCCAGCTCGACACCTACACCGCCACAGGTACCCCCACACAGATCACAGCATGCACACACACCACCGACACCATCACAGGTACTGCCTCATGCACACGGGAAAAAAAAACCGGCATACAAAACAATGGTGCACACCACATTTCACCGTGTACCCCACACATTGCAGCACAACACAAATGTCCACGCTCCCATATCTCTCACTGCCCTGGCACATTACCACTACCCTGCATTATTCAGCCTTGATTCATATCTCCAGCTACACTTAGTGCCTTGAAATGTAATTTGGCACGTTAGAGAAAAGGGAAAGGCTTGGTTCTCATTTACTGCCCCGTGCTGTTGCAGGTTCACCAAGGAATTCTTATAATGTTTTTAAACGTGTGCCACGGTTTAGTGCCCAATGTGCCGCGTCCCCGGCTAGCTTCGCTTCGCCCCCCCTGCTTTTTAGGTCGGGTGTTGAGAGTTAAATTATCTTAGGCATTAGTGAAAGATGCGTTCGTGACGTGTTCCACGTTTTAACACCTGACGAATAAAGGCGAATATATTACTGTCATGCATTTGGCGGAATCACTAAATGTTGTTGGCGCAATTATTTTATCACCTGTTGCCTCTTTTTTTTTAACCGATGCGTTCTTAAACCGGCGATTGCTGAATTTGGCACGTGGCAGTCACGGCGTGTTGCCTGCTGGGGTGGGCGAGTAACTGTTTCTCCGCGTCCATGCCGACGGTCACCGCATCGCGCGCTTCCGGATGCGCTTTCTGCGGCCGCCTGGAATGCTCTTCCTTAGAAAGCCAGTGGAGCTATGCACTTTTAAATTGTCCAGATTGAAAACTAATTTCTTTCGAACGGCTTTTTATGTTTAGTTTGTTGTCCTTCCCCCGCACGTCTGATTAGCATGTTGTGTCTACGTACGGTGTTAAAGAAGTTCAACATACCTACATCCAATATACATACATACTTCATCTTTACATCCTACGCGTGCCCCAGCAGCCGCAGTCGCTGGCCTTGAGATGGGCGCAGGGCTCTGCTGTCAGAATCCCACAGGCAGGAGGAGGGTGAGGAAGAGGAGGAGGATGATGTGTCTTTATGTGGACGTTCCGTCGTGCTTATCGATGCTTTTGAGAAAAACAACCTCGTCGTTGTTGATGTATGCGCTTATTGAATTTGGCTCTGTGAGCCGTGAATGCGCCTGGCTGTGTACCGAGTAGTGCTGCCCTGTGTGTGCTGCTCTTTGTAGCGATCTGGTAGCTCTATACTAGCAGCTCACGTCATGTTCTTTGCTTCAAAATCTTCGTAGTTAATGTTGTCCCGTCTTGTTCTCTCTTGCATCTCATTCGCACAACACATCTCCCTTACGATTAATTTCGATTCATGACATTTCGTTATGTTGAATTCTACCGCCTCTTCTTCCTCTCTATTGTTTCCATCGTTCGTTTTTTTTCTCCCCATTGACGACCTATAATTTGTAACAAAACTCTTAACGAATCTGACAACGCATCATTGGCTGTTTTTTCCTTTCTATGATTTCCCTGTTACGTTTTTGTTGCCGTTTCCTCTCTCCTCCCCTCTCCTATCTCTCTTCTCTTTATCTACTCTCTCCCCTCTCTCTCCTCTCTCTCCCCCCCGACTTGCTTTGGTTCCGTTGCCGTCGTGGCTTTTTGCGTGCCCGTGTTTGGCGGTGCTTTTTGTTGCTTGCCGGCGGTTTGGTTGGAGGCAGTTTGTTTACGCTCACCCCGCTCCTCCTCACCTCTTTTACCTCAAGCCACAGCCCCTGCTGCTGGCGCCGTCGCAGAGCAACGGGGAGAGCGCCCTGCCGCACCCCATGGGGCCGCCGGCCCGCCCAGGTACGTCTGCGTTGCGACACAAACGCCCGTCTCGTCACGCTGAACGTCGGCCACGGTTTACCCTAACAAGTTAACCCTAACAAGTTAACCCTAACAAGTTAACCCTAACAAGTTAACCCTAACAAGTTAACCCGTTCTGTGTACAATGAGGGCGGGGGAGGGGTTTAATTAGTGGTGTCGGCGTCCGTAGGATGCGATTGCAGAAGGGAGTCCGAATATAGCAATGACAGGACGGACTCGCCCAACACCTCTATTTAGCATCACGTGCCACATCATTTAGTGCCATGTTTCCAGTTTGAGGTCCGTGCATTCTTACTCACTAAAACAATCTTCGTATTTTTTTTAACATGTTATTTGGAGGCACAATATTTTACTTTGCTTGGATATGCCAACTTATATTTGGGCAAACATGTGGAAAATAATAATCCCCTCCAGCATTCAGCCTCGTTTTTCTCTTGGTAAATGCAGTCTTTAAGTGGTCAAGAGTCAGTAATTGGCATTAATTAATTATCAGTTAATGGTCTCCACCACTAACCATTAATGGTGGAGACCGTTCCCTGGTGGTCATAGTGAGTGAAGTGTCGAGACGGCTTACAGTGACGTGTTGAGCTTAACGTGCTTTTACTTTGGGTGCTTTTGAAAAAAATGCCATTTATTTGATCTGGAATAATTCAGATTTACTTGGCTGCTGTAAAAGTTCTCACGATAAACCACTTAATTGGGCTATCATTTGTGGCCAGGCCGCTTCTGAAAAAGGGCTATGCAGCTTGGTGGGCTTTACTTGGTAAAATAAAAAATAGTTTAAAGTTTAGTTTACCAGATAAGGACAATTTCTAACATGGATATGGTTTGGTGTTCTGTTGGATATATGTTACCGCTGCTGGTGGTCTACACAATCTATCGCGTAATCATTTATTTTTACATTTGCATATCTGTTTTGTGTATGAATGAGATTGAATTGGCATTGCGAAAGACAATATAGCACAGGACATGAATGACTGGTAAAGGTGGCTGGAGATTCGCGCATCGCTCACAAATGTGAACCCACGCTGGTAATAAACATGGCGGCCTCACGTAGACTCGCGTCGTGCCACGTTGCATTGCTCGCCAGTGACACCTACATCAGGTCATCTCGGTGGACTCGTGCCATTGCTTGCCGGTAGTGAGCTATGCTGAGCCTCCCATGCATCACAAGTTAGAATTCATAATAGATGTTTTTTTTGTGTTAGATCGCGTAAATATATAAATGTGTCGTTAAACCCGCCACCACCCGACACAACCAACTAGTAAGGTTTGTCACGTAAACAGAACGTGCCAATTCGTCACGAGTACAGCACACCGGTGTGTTGGAGACCCAAGCCACAAAATTTACAATCCGAGTTAGAATTGTGAAAATGAATGACTGCTGTTAAATACTTGGCACAATGGTCATTAATTGTAGTTGCTCACCATTCGTAATTGGGTAGCAATGGTTGCATAAATTGAAGTAATTTACATTCTTATGCTGTCCCACACCCAGGGGCCTGTGGCTTTGGCCGCCACAGAGGTTTTGCTCATTCCATGCGTTCTCATCAAGGGCACGCTGAGTTGCTTTATGCGCGATGGCTGATCCCAGTTTTTGTGGCCGTCGGTGTCGCCGTCCGTCGGACGCCATTGGTATTGCGGCTTGAGAAAGCGACGGCGCCTTGGCCACGTTACCTTGCAGACGACCGTAGTCCGAGGAGAGAAATGTTCCCTGGAGCACAGGTAGCTCATGTCGCCATCAAAGCAGTATCTCTCTGCCAGTGCAAGAGCTAAATTTGAATTTTGTTTGCATCAGCATCAGAATATTTATACTCTAGGAATCCGATGAGCTATGAAGCGATTTTTTTCACAGATGTCCAGCAGAGGCGGATAAGAACGTTACAACAACAAACAATACAAAAACAACACGTGATAGGAGTGCAAAGTACAAGAGGGGTAAACAAATCACCCAAATTCATACAATTACAGCACTGAACCATCCCCATCCTACCAGGCACAGCCCACTGAGGTATTAACTTATTTTTCCGAAGTTTCCTAGCCACAAATGATGCCTCAACAAAGTGGCCCATCATTTGGACATTGATAGCACCAAAATAATCTCAATGCATGTTTCAAAATATGGAGGGAAAATCCAGAGAAGCCGGAGAAAAAATCCACGCAACCACGGGGCGAACATGCAAACTCCAAATAAACAGGCGTCAGGGTTGGGTTCAAACCCCCGGCCTCCGGGTGGTATACCAGGCGTGGTTTAGTGATAACTCGGAAACTATCCATTCCGATAGTTATACGAGTTGTCTTAGAGTATTGTTTAACTATGTGATTACAAAATCAGCAATGGCCACTCTCGTTACATGAGAGTGTCTGCTTTGAAAAACGATCATTAAATGCCATGGGAAATAAAGATGAATCTGTCAATGATGGGGGGGGGGGGATAAATCTGTATTATGACAAGGTTTTATACATCATGGCAATGGTTGCTGCTCATAGATTTCAGTCTGGCAGTTTAGTTGGCATAAAGTTAATGCAAAATAAAAAAATGCTTGATATTCTGATTGATCAATTGTGCCTTCGGCCTTAATCTTTTTGTGACCAGGGCAATTGAAGCAGGACTAATGTTTCGAACAGAAATGCTCTGGTGTGCCTGCGATAGCTGTGAGCCCATCGTGCGTGTAGAATCAAGTCGGAGGCCAAGTCACAAAAGAGAATCTTGATCACAAAGCTCACGGAGTCCATTGCAGAAAAGTTTCTGAACAACCTGCAAAAACCCACAGCTCCGTTAGACACGATGCCAGCAGAACATTTTCTGCTGAAAACATCAATTTGGCTTAATGGGATAAAGTATATATTCAGTTACTTTTTGGGTTAAATTATAGCTACATACTAATTATGAATCATTAATGGCCCTCGGAGCCTACGTTTAAGATTAAAGTGTATTGTTCCTCATACGGCGGTTGCCGCATGTTGGCAACTGCCCGGCATACGACCAGCACCCAGACAGCTCGGCATTTTAATAATGTACCGGCGATGTTGGTTGGGGGGGATTCTACGCCTCCCCCCCCCCCCCATCTACCCCATTGTACATGTGACCCTGCCACCTACATTTTTATTTAGTGTTTAAGTTTTCTGGGCTAGGGCAAGGAGTTTTGCTTTCACGCTCCTATAAACTTGCTACAGAATTAAATTGTAAAGTAAGTGCTGTGAAAGGCACGTCCGACCATTACAAACAAGCATGCGGCGCATTACTTGGCTTGCTCTGCCCTCTTGAGTTTCGTAATGACAGAAGCCGTGTTGCTGCATTTTTAGCTGCGTTGTCTGCACACACTGAAGACTAACTTCGTGTAATCTTCCCTATGGCTGCATCCTTACCCCACACTTTCTCCCGAGCTCACACGTGGCTTTTCGAAAGGCTGATCGGAAGCCACTGCCCCCCCCCCCCCCCCCACGTCTTATTGCTGAGCTTGCGGGGTTTAGAGTAGGCTCCAGCCTGGGCCTATGTGCTGGTGGCCATAACCAGAGCTGTACAAAACACAAAATCACCTGACGTGAAGCCAATTTGATATGTCTCACTGCTGAGTCCGTGATAACCGGGAAGCCTGCACGCATGCTCAAGAGGATGCTGCTTTTCTGCTCACGGCAGCGTTTTCCAGTCCGCGAGGAGTCTGCGATGACTAACTCGCGAGCACCGGTGACGCTGTGAACGCCGAGATTTTTTAGCACAGGAATTTGGACTGTTTGAAAATATGGAAAACGATCATCCAAAACGCGTGATAATCTGGGTTAATTATATCGTGCATGCCAATACAATGTCAACTTGTTGCTCACGGTTCGCCTGATTATCGGGTGTAAAGGTGTGCACGGCTTGTTAACCGTGATGGCAGTAACGCTTGCATTGGAAGTCTTCCAGCTTCACCTGGATTCGCCTGCCTTGTCTGGTTCGTATGCTTCCTGATAGGCTGTGGTCTGGTTACGTGAAAAAGATCAAATCTGCAGTCGTGTGGCTGTAAAGATGAGGGTGTCTGTGGGACCTTTTGCCAGTATCAATAATGTTGGGAGAAAAAAGTTTTACCCTTTCTGGCAATAAAACATGTTAAGATGTTCAAACACTAACGAGAGATACCTTTAGCAAGGCATTAAGTCTGCATTAACCACACATGCTTTTGAAAAGTATGCAAGCAAACATGCTCTGATATTATATGCATTTAAGACTTATTGGCCTACACCAGAGACAGCCTTCTTTATGGCCTTGTCTCACCAGTGTTAGATCAGAGAATGCCAAAAGGCGAACACTACAGGGTGTAATGCTATTCTACTTGTGCGGATGTCAAGGAGAGGGTTTAATACTATTCCAGTGGGGAGCTGGTGCACTTTGGACGTGGCGAAGTTCGATTCCCGCTCATGGCCAACACCAGTGACGATTATCTCAACCGGTCCTGTACCTCCCGAGTTGAACTCAACTTCGATTGAGTACCTGGTGCCATGTGTAAACATCGCCACTGGGGAGACAAAGGTGGTCGTACGTGGTGCTGGTCACCCACCACCTTCTTCGTGTACTGCGGTGGCCTTCATAGGTGCTCGCTCACAGCAGTTGCCTTAAGTCTGCTAAATGGTATACGGGGGGGATCTTTGTGCTTTGTTTTGTATTATTTTCCATCGGGTTAAATCTCGCTGCCGGTTACGACTGCCAGCACGCAAACAAAAAAAAACTTGAAATTTTCCCCAATTACTTTTGCTAAAATATCAGCCCCGACAACTAAGTTTCACATGACCTGCCACTTAATGAACGTGTTGACTGCAGTGTGTGTGGGAAAGTACGCTGCCCGTAAACATGGACGAAAGAGGGCGTTTCAGTTTTACGCCTCCTGTGAAGCTGTTCTCTCTAACGTGGTGGGACCCGCTGTTTGGCAAGAGACCCAAAGGATTAAATTTGCCTTGTGCCATAACGCTGGTCGTATGGTTGGAATGAAGTTAAGAAGGTTATCTATACTCTTTGGTTTTATTCGGTAAAGTCACGTAGATAAAATAAAACAAAATAAAAGAAAGTAATTAAATCACGACGTTTCGGAGGCAACGCAAGCTTCCTTCTTCAGGTGGAATAGTCCTCGCAGAATATCTGTGTCAGGAGCACAGTTCAGAGACGACCGGGATTATATACAGGTTAAGGGAGGGGGGAGGAGTCAGTAAGGGGGCGTGGGTGGGTGGGAGGGCTGGGTTAAGCAGCCCTTTGATAGACTGCTGGGGCAACAACTACTTCGCACTGTACGAGAGTGGGTAAAACCCACCTTTTGTTATGCTGCGTGGGGGGTTGGGGGGAGGGAGAGACATGTTGCATGTGTACATCTCCATTTTTTTAAAGTGGCGGCAAACGGCTGTTTAATTATAAGGTAGTTAAAGTTTGATATACAACTACTAAGAAAAGGAAATGGCTGTACCAAAAAATTGAAAGGCATCTAACGTTTGACTTGATTTAAAACATCTTTCCAGTGATTGCTCAATTTGAAACCATCCTCTCGGTTGAAGTTGTGTCTGTGTTTGTAAATCTGGATGGCCTCGTGGACAAATCTCTGATAATAACCGGTAGGTTTGCAGAGAACCTTGGTTTCGGAGAAAACAATATCATGACCATCCACAGCGTTGTAACAATGATCAGCCATGGCAGAAAAATTAGTTCTGCCGTGTTTCAAATCTAATTTGTGCTCGCAAATTCGGTCAGAGATATGTCGCTTCGTCTCCCCGATATAGCAGTCCCCCGCAGGTACAACTCAATTTGTAAACACCGGGGTACTGTAAGTCAGAAATAACATCGTGATTCATACTCTTTGAATAAAACCAAAGAGTATGAATCCTTGCAGTCACGAAAGCTTCAAATCTAGAATACAGTTATCTTTTTTTTCTTAAACAACGCGTTGTTGTTTCTACTTTGTAACACTGCCTGTGTGTATATATCTACGTAACAATGCGTGTGTGTGTATGTATGTATGTCATCGCTTGTTTGTGCAACAGAGGGAAAGCCGCGGCTGTCTGCGGCTGTGACAACGATCAAACCCCCTCCTCCGGACCCGACTCCTCCGCCAGCTCCCACCGGCTCTGACCCACACGCACCCGATGTCCAGCAAGACACCAAGCCGCAGCCTCAGCAGCCGCAGCCTCAGCAGCCTCAGCAGCCTCAGCAGCCGCAGCAGCCTCAGCAGCCGCAGCAGCCTCAGCAGCCGCAGCAGCAGCCTCAGCAGCCGCAGCAGCAGCAGCAGCAGCAGCCGCAGCTGCATGTGCAGCAGCCGCCGCAGCAGCAGCCGCCGCAGCAGCAGCAGCCGCCGCAGCAGCAGCCACAGCAGCAGCAGCCGCCGCCGCAACAGCAGTTGCAGCAGCTTCAACAGCTGCCGCAACAGCAGCCACCACAACAGCAGCTGCAGCAGCAACTTGCACTGCAACAACAGCAACTGCAACAGCAGCAACTGCAACAGCAGCAACTGCAACAGCAGCATCAGCAACTGCAACAGCAGCAGTTGCAGCTGCAACAGCAGCAGTTGCAAAATCCGCCGCCCGCACTGGTGACGGCTCAGCCAGAGGCTGTGGCGGTCACACCGGAGTCGGACCCAGAGCCCGAGGCCGAGCCATCTCTGCCCCTGGAGCAGACAGCCAACAGCACGGTGCCCCTTGCCCCCGCCGCCCACGTGGAAGTGGCGCCGCCCGTCCCTGCCACGTTGGCAGCACCGCCCGCGCCCGCCGCATTGGCGGTGGTGGCGGCAGTGGAGGTGGCGACGGTGGAGCCCACGGTCCCGGCCCTGCCGGCCGTGGAGGAAATCGTGGTGGAGGCGCCGCCTCCGGCCGTCGAGGAGAAGGAGCCCGCGGCGCCCCCCGCCCCCCCCCGCTGTTGCGGCGCCCGTCGTCATCGCCACCGCCCCCGAGTCAGCCGCGCCAGCCGTCGCCCCTGCCATTACTGCCGCCCCCCTGAACGAGAAGGACACGGACATCTCCGCGCCCACAGAGGTGGCGCCTGAAGCGAAAGACAAGCCTGCTGCTCAGGCAAAGACCATTGCGCAGGCTCAGCCGGTCGCACCCACGAAAGCCGCGGCCGTTGCTGCGCCGCAGCCACTGCCTGTAGAACAGCCTCAGCCTGCCTCGCAGGCCCAACCGACGCCACAGGCCCAGCTTTCCGTCGCTATTGCCGGCCCCGCTGTTAAGGCCGTTTCCCCAGCCACCGTTGCTGCCGCCCCCTCTCCCGCGGCGGCGGTTGTGGCGCCGCCCCCGCCCGAGGTTGCGGAGCAGGAGCAACAGCAGCAGCAGCAGGAGCCGCAACAGCAGCCGCTGCCACCGCCCGTGGTCACGGACTTGAAGAAGCCCGAGGCTCTGGCCCCCAAGGAGGCCACCACTCCCACGGTGACCGAGGCAGCGGAGGTGGAGGCGCCTGTCGTGGAGCCGAAGGCTGTGGAGCCGAAGGCCCCCGAGGAGGTGGAGGAAGAGGAAGTGGAGGACATCCCCACGGCGCAGCCGGCCTCCCCACCCGGTCCAACGACAACTGCCACTGATGGTATCCAGGGTGTGGGCTCAGTCTCGGAGGGTACGCGGTCGTTGTATGTGTGTACTTGCGCAGCCATTGGCAATTAAATTTGACTCTCGCATAGTTTAAGCCTTAAATTGAGTAACCTGGTGCATGTGCTTTTTAGCATTGGGGAGTCTCGTGGTTGTTTTATAACCCTTTGTTAAAACTACAAAGATGTGTCACAATTGACCAGAACAGCTGAATAATATTGTGCATCTTGGCGGCAAAGTTCAAAGATATTTTTGCTTAGTTAAAATTTTAATATCATGCTGCAGTGTGCATCCATAGAACGGCATGCAGCCAAGGTGCGCAGTTCTTCACTTTCAGTGTTGGGACTGTTGAGATCTCACCAATCCAGTGTAGGTTCACCTTTCACGTGGTTTCATGCGACCGCTAATGTTTCCACTTCACGCAAGGTAAAGTCAATGTCTGACGGTAAAGAAATGCAGATAAATGGGGGTATAGGAGGACCCAGCTTCCTGAATGTTGTATCCGTGAATGCTGGGTTTGTCAAAGGTTATGTTCCGTTAAGTGTGGAATCGACGGCAAGAAGCCGTGCTCAAGGTGCAGTCATCACAAGCCCCCCCCTGTTCATCCTCTTTGAGTCGGGCCCTCTGCCCACTGTCAGATCCTTTTGGTCAAACTCAACTCAATCCTTACCCATCTTGAGCTTTTTTCTTCATTTCCTGGTAGGCCCCCGCCACATTTGAAATCTCGCCTTCAAGCTATCAAGCAAACGGTAGTTTGTCTTTTAATGTCTCTTGGCCTCTTTCTTAACATCCCTGTCCCTTCCAATAACTTCCCTCAACACTCCCTCACCTCTGAAAATCTGCCCAGTCCACGTCTCGCCACAAATACACGTGTTAATTTACAGCCGTAATTCTTGCTTAACGCTCCCCTGACCTGTTACACCGAGTTGAAAAGCCGTTCCACTGGGAGGGCCGCCAGCATCGGTGCACATTTGTCACGGGCTGCAGTCTTTGTGCACTTCTCCCAGGTCCATGAAGACAATCGCTTCTCCCTCCCCCTTCACTGACCGCTCACAACTTTGTCACGTGCTCTGTGCCCTCCGTCCACCACAGCCGGTGCCCAGAAGAAGGTGAAGAAGGACTGGCACAAGAAGGAGCTGGACGGAGACCTGATGAGCGCGTTCAAGGAGGTATAATGGGGAAGTTGGGCTCGTGTGGCGGCTGGGCTGCTGGCGGGAGGCGAGGGCTGTGACACGAAGTGCAATCCATAGTAGACAAGACGCCCGGTGCTCTCTTAATGGTGCCCTTCTCGACGCGGCAAACAAATTTAACCTTATACTCTTTGGTTCTTTCGGTTAAAGTCACGTAGGTATAAAATAAATCGCGACGTTTCGATCGCAACACAAGCGGTCGTCCTCAGGTGGAAAAAATATAATCCAACAGTGGAACTGCTGAACCAGCGAGAGAGCTGTTACAACAGGAGGTTATATATGTGGCGATGGGCAAGCAAGCGGGGTCTGAGCTGGAAAGGAATTGCATCCACGGACGCAAGCACGTCAGTTGTGTTAATGGGGGAGATTAGGGAGGGAGATAAGCATGAATGAGCTTCCGTCGCCGCATAAGAGTATCATGCCCACATATGCGCACAATAGCAGTGTTAATGAGAGATTAGCAGTTCCACTGCCTGAGGACGACCGCTTGTGTTGCGATTGAAACGTCGTGATTTATTTTATTTTCTACCTACGTGACTTTACCGAAAGAACCAAAGAGTATGGATTCCTGCAGTTACGAAAGCTTCAAATCAAAATTGAACCTTGTCAAAGCGATCTCTCCATGTGCTACACAAGGGAGATCTTAAATGGTTCAATGTGTATATTGAGATAGGTTGGAGACAACAATGTTTTCTCGTTAGAAAAAATTATATGGAGTGTAATTATATCACCCTCTATGATTACCAGCATAACCAGGCTTACCCCCCCCCCCCGCCAACGATTTGCAGCCAACCGCCAAGGAGGAGCCACCAGCCGTGGAGGTGGCCGCTGCGCCCCCTAAGAAGGGCGCTGAGCCAGAGGCGGCCCCAGCCGGCAAGCCGACACAGCCGCCCGCAGAGGAGAAGGACGAGACTTGGGAGGAGAAGGAGGATAAGTCCGGCACTGGCTCCAACTCCAAGTATCAGTACAAGAATGGTGAGGGCTTGTGAAGGGCTTTTTAGTTTGGGCGAATTAGTTGGTTTTGAGGTGAAGCGGTGGATAGTTCTCGAAGAAACGGCATCGCCAACTCGACGTTCACCACTCTCGTCATTAATGCTGCTGTGTTAACAAAACTGACGCGTATTTATTGTCTACGAGGAGTGTGAACGAGCTGCGGTTCTGATGCGGTGTTGATCTTCGATTGTCGACCTCTTGCCGAGTGAGATCACGTAGCCTTACCGAGCGTGGTGAGAGGGCTGGACGGAGACGTATGGATACTCCTTAGTTTCATAAATACATGATGTTGTTTTCAGAAGACTGGAAACCCCTTAACGAGGAAGATAAGAAGAGGTATGACCGTGACTTCTTGCTGCAGTTCCAGTTCCGCCAGGCGAGCACAAAAAAGCCAGAGGGTCTCCCAGCCATCAGCGATGTTGTATTAGACTCGGTAAGTGTTTGGTGTGTGCCTGTCTGCATGTGTATGCGTGTTTGTCAGAAGTGGGGAGTGGTAGTGTAGCAGTTAGCGCGCTACGGACCCGGCTACGAGAGTTTGAATCCCACTCCTGGCCAACACCAGTGATGATTATTTGAATTGGTCCTGGGCCTCCTCTAGGTCGACTGCTTCAAATGAGTACATGGTGTCATATGTAAACATCACGAATCAGAATATTTATTTACGATGGAGGAATTGGATGAGCTCTTTTTCTCAGATGTCCAGTAACTCGGGAGACAAAGGCGGCCTGGCATGGTTCTGGCCCACCCACCCTCGTGTGTCATGCCGGCCTTCATATGTTCTACTCTTGCTAACAATACTTGACCCAACAGTTTGTTAAGGCTACACGGGGGGGGGGGGGAGAGTGTCTTTGTGTCAGAAGTGGCGGGTGCAGTGAGTAGTGCAATCTGGTCCTGCTGCCGTGACATTAAATCTCAGAACTTCAGTGGCAAGCTTTTTCTCTACCTGACCTGGCCCTCCCCCTTGGTAGTTTCAGCCTTCAGTGAATGTCCGCTACAGTGGGCGCACATTGCGCACGGAGGGGTGTCCTTTAAATTCTAAACAATGAGTTCACATTCATTATATCCTCTGATACCTTTGCGAGGCCAGGTTGCACCTATGACTGGTTGATCACGTGGTGGCTGACCCGCTGGCTCCCCCACCCCATTGTTATAAGCAAAACCTCTTGCGTTTAATGGTCACATGGATCGAGTGTGGCAGCAGCAGCAGCCCGAACCGTTTGCAGTTGCACTTAAAATGTGCGCGACGGTGCAGGTGTTCTCCCCCCCACCCCGTAACCGCGTTCTTCCGTGCCTGTGTGTGTACCTGGGCGTGTGCCTGCGTGCAGATGAACAAGGCACCCCCCCCACGCCTCGACCACGCGCGACTCATTAAGGCGGGGCCGGACTTCACGCCCTCCTACGCCAACCTAGACCGCCAGCAGATTATGGGCGGCCATGCCGGAGGTCCTGGGCCTGGCCCTGGACGCGGCCCCGTGAGTACCTACATGGTGCTGCTCATCACACCCCAGGGTGGGGGAGTCTACAGCCTGCACGGCCAGATATATGGACCTTTTATCCATCACAATACAGCCTGTGGCCACATGAAAGGGCATGAAAGCAAGATGTATATTTCACTGCAAGGATCTTAGCCATACAAATTGGGTACTAGAGGGGAATATATTTGACCTGGCTACACCGAATTTCTAATTTTAATCTTGGCACCTCGCTCATCACAGATAAAATGTTTCCTCCTATGACCGATTGGGCAGAAACAAAGTACAAAGAGGGGGTGGGCATAGTTGTACGTCAATTCTATTGGTTGGTTCTGTTGTTTGCGTTGTACTTAAGTACTAAAACGCTTCTAATATACTCGGACGTACAGACCATTATTGATTAGCCGGACAGCGGTGGCTTTGCATGCCTGTTATACAGCACTGTGGAGGCGGCGATGTTTGTGGATCGCACACATTGTGAAACTCCCTTCTCGTGGGCATCGAGAAGGTGCCATACCCTGGCTCTCCAGGAGAGGGCGGTACAGTAAAGGTGTTGCCTCGACCTGTTTCGTCCATATTCCATAGTGTTTCCCCCCCCTCGCACCAGTATCCTTCTACATGTTCACGTCATTAATTGACCGATAACGCCTTAATATATAGATGACCGTGGAGCTTGGGCAACTGTTTGTGCCAGCTCATCGCGTGGCTGCCTTTCCTGCTTGTCCGTGGTTCCTCTGGCCTCCGAGTCATGCTCTCTCTCTGTCCCCCTACGAAAGCTAGCGAATACTCTGCGGCAAGTTCTAAGTTTACATTTTTTTATCCTACATTTGGGCGAAAAGACCTTGTGTGCGACTAGTTTATGGGTGAACATTACTTGAGTATTTGAGCTCGGAGGCACTACAAAGGGTCGTGTGTGACTCGCCCCTGTGTGAGAACGAGTGATTTATTCGCTGCTCTCCCGGCTCTGCTCTCTGTGCCCCGACTTCCGTATCCAGAGCATGGGTGGAGGAGGAGGGGGGGGTGGCGGAGGGGGGGGCGGCGGCGGTGGCGGCGGTGGAGGCCCCCGGCGCTCGCAGACGCAGCAGCGCAAGGAGCCGCGCAAGATCATCACCATCTCGTCCATGTCGGACGACGTGAAGTTGAACCGCGCCGAACATGCCTGGAAGCCCACGCTGAAGCGCGAGCCGCCCCCGAACGACCCGGAGAGTGGTCGTACGCAGGCATGGCGACGCGCTCGCACGGGGGACACATGCACACTGATACTGGAGGGATAACTCGCTCACGTGGGGACACACAGACGTGGGGACACACAGACGTGGGGACGCACGCTGACACAGAGACGCATGCAGACGGTGAAGCAGGGATGCACGCGAACATAGGGACACATACACATGGCTACACTGGCACAGAGACGCATGCACAGCGTGACATAGGGATGCTTACTGATATAGGGACACAGATGTGCAGACACGCAAACACAGACTCATGCACACAGGAAACAGAAATATACGCTCACATAGGGGCACATTCGTGGGGACACGCGCAGGCGCGAACGCAGCGACTCACGCTTTCGTGTGTGTGCATCCTGTGCCATGCGTGTATCTCCGTTTAGGATCTCTTCAAGAAGGTGCGCAGTATCCTGAACAAGCTTACGCCGCAGATGTTCCAGGCGCTCATGAAGCAGGTGACCGACCTGAAGATCGACACGGAGGAGCGGCTGAAGGGCGTCATCGACCTCGTGTTCGAGAAGGCCATCGACGAGCCCAGCTTCTCCGTAGCCTACGCCAACATGTGCCGCTGCTTGGCCATGGTAATTTTTTATCACTTGCGGCTGCCCGCTGCCGCCACCCGCCAATGCTGTTTTTTGTCCTCTGTGCATGTTGAACTTCTTTCGCACCGTACGGAGACAACGGTGCTGATCGGAGGTGTGGCGGACAGACAACAAATTAAGCACAAAAAGCCGTTCTAAAGAAATGCATAGCTCCCAGTGGCTTCCTAATATTGGAAGGAAGAGCGTTCCAGACGGCCACAGAAGCGCATCTGAAAGCGCGTGATGCAGTGACTGTCCAAGGGCCATTCATAGTCGTTATTAACGAGTCGCGATTCCCGTGAAGGCCTTGGTACGTGATGCAGAGAGAGCATTGAGGTGAACACTGCACACCCCTGCCACATCACTTCCACTACCTCATAAGCCCCACTGTTCTGTACCTCAGTGAGAACTTCAGGGAGGGCTTTAGCCACTCGGCTAAACAGTTGTAATGCATCATAGCCTGAGGCACGAGCAGGAAACTGTAAGATACTCTTAGATACTCAATTGTCTCTACTTTTCCTTACTTTTTCTCTTTCATCTTATCTATAAATGTCATTTTTTGGCTGTGTCCTTCTGTCTGTCGCAAGCCGTGGGGTTTACGTTTAAAAAGTAGCCAGGTACCACGCCATAAGCCCTGTGGTGAGCCAGCGCTCTTTCATTTTCCCATCCGGCAACTGTAAAGTAGTTAAGTCATAAATGAAGCGCTATTTATTATTTATTTTCTTGCGCCGTTCAGCGCGTGCCAAAGCTGACCGGGGGTTGCCCCGAGCAACGCACACGCCTTCGTTTGGCGTGGGGGAAAATTATCTTTCGCGTTAAAAATGCAAAAAAATCAACACAACGCGAAGGTAAATTCTTCTTAAGTATCATGTCCTCTTCTCCCCCCCTCCCCAATGTGTACACTTACTACTATAGGCTCGGTAGATACTAATATTACAGCGCTTGGATACTATTATTGTACAGCAGGCGGGGGGATGGTGGGGGGGAGGGTAGCGGCCCAGCCCCTAGCCTGCCAAGGTGCCAGCTCGGTCGGCTGGGCAATCTAGACGAGGCCGGTGGCTTTGGACGGGACTAGGCCTCACGACGGCACTGTCAGGTTAGTAGTTTGGGCTAAAGAGTCGAAATATACTGCTCTAGAGTCAGCATGTACTACTGTAGTGATAGCAGGTACCACCACAGTCAGTATGCACTGCTGTAGTTAAATCAGGTAGCACCAAAGTCGGTATGCGCTGCTGTAGTCAGCAGGTACCACCACAGTCGGTATGCGCTGCTGTAGTCACAGCAGGCACCACCACAGTTGGTATGCACTGCTGTAGTGAAAGCAGGTACCACCACAGTCGGTATGCGCTGCTGTAGTCACAGCAGGCACCACCACAGTTGGTATGCACTGCTGTAGTGATAGCAGGTACCACCACAGTCGGTATGCACTGCTGTAGTGATAGCAGGTACCACCACAGTCGGTATGCGCTGCTGTAGTCACAGCAGGCACCACCACAGTTGGTATGCACTGCTGTAGTGATAGCAGGTACCACCACAGTCGGTATGCACTGCTGTAGTGATAGCAGGTACCACCACAGTCGGTATGCACTGCTGTAGTGATAGCACGTACCACCAAAGTCGGTATGCACTGCTGTAGTGATAGTAGATACTGCTATCGAAGTTGGTAGATACTAAAACAGTCGGTATACACCACTATGGTCAGTAAATACTGCTCCAGTTAGTAGATACTACTATACAGTCAGTAGATACTACTATACAGTCAGTAGATACTACTATGCAGTCAGTAGATACTACTATACAGTCAGTAGATGCGACTATACAGTCAGTAGATGCCACTATAGAGTCAATGGATACTGCTATAGAGTTAGTAGTTACTACTATAGAGTCGGTAGATACTACTGTAGGGCCATTATATATTACTACAGTCAGTAGATACTACTATAGAGTCAGTAGCTACTACTGGCTCAGAAGATACTACTGTACAGTGAGTAGATACAACTACAGAGTCAATAGATACTCCTTTCTCTATTGTATGAAGGGTGTGTAGGTATATATAGGTAGGGGTAAAAATATTTTTTGGGGGGGGATTGACAACTTTCTATAACTTTTTGGACTTCTGCAAGTCTTATTTTGTTGGAGAAATGGACAAACGACCCACCGGGCTTTCATAATAGCTTAGTATCTGTGTACAGTCATACCTCGGTATACGACCGCTTTGGAATACGTAGAATTTGGTATATGTCGTGTATACCAAATTCGAAAAAAATGTCTTGGGATACGCCGTCTTGCGTGGGATACGACGTGCTTGCTAGAACTTGTATGGGTTGGGATGAGTCACCGCGTACCCGTGTAGACCCCGTTCACGACTGAAACAAAGCGCCGCTCCTCAGTCTGCCTGTACAGTAGATCTCGTTCAGTGCACAATTTTTGCTATAGCTCTGTGAATTTCCACGTGTTTTTTGTCATTTTAATGTATGTATGCATTTTAGTAATAAGTAGTGTCTACATTATTTAATACAACCCCATTAATGTATATGCCATACTTATTTCTTATGGGAAACATTATTTGGTAGACGTCATTTTCAGTATAAGTCCTCCTACCTTCTGGAACGAAGTAATCCGAGGTACCACAGTATGTATATGTAATGTTTTTTAAGAGAATCTTGATTTGAAGGTTTCATGACTGCAGGAATTCATACTCTTTGGTGCTTTCGGTAAAGTCACGTAGGTAGAAAAATAATAGATCACGACGTTTCAATCGCAACACAAGCAATCGTCATCAGGTGGAACAACCACAGCAAGAAAAAACTGCTGAAGTAGGCGAGAGATCTGCCGTGGCACGAGGTTATATAGTAGGCCTCGGCAGTAGGGGGGGGGGAGAGAAGGGGGGGAGGAGGCGGGGCAGAAAGTGGACCCCGCGGCAGTACCCGGTTCACTGGAGTAAAGTTGACCACCAATGCAGCACTGGAGAGATCCCACCCGCTAGAAATAAATATATAATTTCCCCACGTGGCGCCCAAGCTTTTGCTTCGGCTCTTTATACGCGGTTGCGGGGCAGCCTATGGCGCCTCGAAAATCACCTTAGCCAGTATCCAGGGCGCCCCCCCTGGCTGCTGTGTCCAGTGTGCTACGGCGAAAGATAGGTCCCTATAATAGTGCGCCCCTTGGCATGACGCTGATCCCACTGCCGTGTGATGGCCAGCGGCAGGGAACCGTCATCTTGCGGCCTTGGGGCCCGCTCGGCTTGCCAGTGACTGAGCACCATGCTGCTTGCGGCCGAGGCTCCATGTGTGCGCCGATGCGGGTCTTGGCAGTGCTCGCGTGACCGGCTGCTCTTAGACGGCCTCCGGGCACGAGCGCTCAAGATTGCTCTTGCCGACTGCGGCACGAATTTCGGGTCACGGCACGCGTGGCGATCGCATTTGCGACGGCTACGCTGCCAGTCGCAGCACGGAGAGCGATTGGGAACTCGCGTGCTCTCTCGGCGAGATCACGGCACTGCCGACAATCGTGCTGCAGTGAAGGATCCCAGCTGTCATGCCGCAGTCGTCTGTTTAAGAGAGCGAGCAAATACTGTGCGCGTTTACCATCAGAAATTATTATTAAACAACTTCTTTCCCACCCTCACTGTTGCCGTTGTCTCCAAAAACAGCTCAAGGTGCCGGTGGCTGAGAAGCCCGGCGTGTCGGTGAACTTCCGGAAAGTGCTGCTCAACCGCTGCCAGAAGGAGTTTGAGAAGGACAAGGATGATGACGATATTTTCGAACGCAAGCAGAAGGAGATGGAGGCAGCTGCCACGGTAACCAGCGTGCACGCTCCATGGAGCTCACCTAAAACTCAACGCCGTTTGAGATTTATCTGGCAAAGTGGAATATTGTCTGATAATCTTAACAAGGTTTATTGACAATGGCCTTTAACCTTGGGGCAGTCCCCCCCCCCCCCCCCCCCACATCGTAATCACAGATGGGGTAGTAATTAGGAAACTACTGCTGCTGACTTGTGTAATTCATCAACTTTGCACGATAAAACCTTATTGATCGAGTGCAATAGCGTTTGTTATTGGATTTGTAAACTGGCCACGTCCGTGTCATGCTGTCGGCATCGCAGCGCAGGTGAAAGTCGAAGTTAACGGAACACCATAGAGGCAGGGGGAGGCTCTTTCCCCCGCCGCTCTGGGAAATGACCCTGAAAGAGAGACGCCGCTCAAACTTCACTTGCGTGGCGTTTCTATCTACCTCCCATTCATCACTGTTTCTATCCACTTCCCATTCATCACTGTTTCTATCCACTTCCTATTAATCACTGCATTTCTATCCACTTTCCATTCATCACTGTTTCTATCCACTTCCTATTCATCACTGCATTTCTATCCACTTTCCGTTCATCACTGTGTTTCTATCCACCTCCCATGCATCACTGCGTTTCTATCCACTTCCCATTCATCACTGCGTTTCTATCCACTTCCTATTCATCACTGCGTTTCTATCCACTTCCTATTCATCACTGCGTTTCTATCCACTTCCCATTCATCACTGCGTTTCTATCCACTTTCTATTCATCACTGCGTTTCTATTCACTTCCCATTCATCACTGCCTTTCTATCCACTTCCCATTCATCACTGCCTTTCTATCCACTTCCCATTCATCACTACGTTTCTATCCACTTCCCATTCATCACTGCGTTTCTATCCACTTCCTATTCATCACTGCGTTTCTATCCACTTCCCATTCATCACTGCGTTTCTATCCACTTCCCATTCATCACTACGTTTCTATCCACTTCCCATTCATCACTGCGTTTCTATCCACTTCCTATTCATCACTGCGTTTCTATCCACTTCCCATTCATCACTGCGTTTCTATCCACTTCCCATTTATCACTGAGTTTCTATCCACTTCCCATTCATCACTGCGTTTCTATCCACTTCCTATTAATCACTGCATTTGACTCATTCTTGACCTGTGTTCTGATTGATTGAATTCGACAGACGCTGTAGCAGACCAAAACCACCAGACCAAGGGAGCAGTGATCGTGAAATCACTGCTCCCTTGGTATTTTTTTATGGCTGCAAGATGTTTATAATGTTGGTGTTCAAGTGACGATAAAGCATTGTCAAACGGTTAATTCTTGGCAATGGAGCATTTGAGACGTTTAACGTGCGCACTCGTTGCACCGAGCTCAAAATGCCGTGGGGAAATATTTCACGAACGAAGCAAACAAATGAAGCGAACCACACGGCTGGCCAACGTTTTTATTTCCACAACACAAACCTGCCCATCCTGTGCCCTTGCACTGCAGCAACCCATTTATCTGACTTCTATAATCTATAATTGAGGGATTTTTGGGTTGGATGACTTAAATATAAATGGTTAATTAAACTTGCCGCCACCCAACATAGCCAATTAGTAATGTTTTGTCACTTAAACAAAATGTGTAAATTCGTTACTAATTCAGCACACTGGGGTGTGTTGGAGAGTAAACCCACAACAACATTTATAATTCGAGTACCGTGACGTTTTCCCGGTAATTACAACACCAGAATCATCAAGCGACACCCAGAATTGTGGAGAAATCTTCCTCCTGTTTCGGTCTTAAATATAGGAGTCACTTGTGAGCCAATCAGGTGCGAAGACCTGAAAGACTACGTGTTAAACTGACTTCTAGAAGTGGGTTATTCATTCGCCTCTATATTAAATCCTCCTGAAGCCTCATTTGTGACACCGAAGAGAACGACACAGTGTTTGCACGCGCTGTAATAAATCAACACAAATTAGCACAGCCGAGTGGGCAGTAATTGAATTGGCAGCTGGCTGCTTAGGCTGCGGGGTAGTGGTTCAGGCTGGTGAGGGCATTCATTCATTTGCTCTGGCACTGGGCCAGGGCATCTTGCCCAGGGCGAAGGCAGCTTCTGCAGCGACGTCGCCCTCCCACCACCGTCACACCACCACCGCTCGTGCTTCCAGGCCTCATGGTCGCTTGCTCCCTGCCTATTTTGAGGGTTTCTCAAGCTCCAGATCCACCACGGGTCTGCACTTTCCGTGTTTTCGGGTTGTCTACAATCGCATGCAAATGAAGTGACGGCACGCTCTAACGTGGCTCATGTTTGCTAACCATTTGCCCCACGAGATGTGGTGGGAGCGCTCCTTGACGAATCCGCTCAACGTCGCATATGCAATCTCTCGCACAAGATCTCTTATTGGATCGATTGGCGTACTGTTCATTATTTGGTACGTGTTTCGCAATTGGTGGATGTGTGCAGCTTGTAACCCCATTCTTCTTATATGAGTGGATGTAAATAGGTAATTTTGGCAAGGAATGCTGCACTAGGAGGACTGGAGTTTTTCCGAAAGTATTTTATTGAACAAACAATTCGTGTAAACACAGAGGGCATGTATGGGAATTGACACCAGTATATACACAATGCGAAGTACAATGACATTTACCAACAGTTTCTATTTTTTAACCTGTAACCCTGCCCTAATGAAGCCATCCCAATTCACACCCTCCAAAAGTTGTGAATGTCAACCAGACATTGGTTTTCTGATGACCAGAGATCACTGCAGCAGCTGCTGGCCTCCGCTTGCTAGCGCTAAGCGCTTACCTGCCTTGTCTAAGCCATCTATAGCTCACTGACGCAAACTACTCTGACCAAACACCCTTGCTACCGAACCCGCCTAGGCCCATTCACCTCCCCCACGTTCCCACTGAGCTGTTTTAGCTCTTTTTCAGAAGTGACCTGGCCACAAATCATTGCTCAATGAAGTTGCTTATCACGTGGAAATTTAAAGCAGTAGTCGATTAATCAAAACGCTTCACTCTAAATGTGGACGGGAAAAACCTGAGGACCCGGAGAAAAATCCACGACCCCGGGAAGAACATGCAAACTGCAACTATACAAGTGTCAAGAGTCGCGATCAAATCCACGGCATCCTGTATACAACGTAAGGTATCTTTTAAAATTGAGGCAATGTGCGGGCCCGCCTTGCGCCCCAAATCCAATTCCAAGCAAATCCTCACGCGTCTCCTCTGCTGCCGCTGTGTATGCACTCCTGTCCGTCCCCTCCCCTCCTGCCCTCCTCCTCCCCCCACACAGCCCGAGGAGCGGACGCGGCTGCACGACGAGCTGGAGGATTCTCGCGACAAGGCGAGGCGACGCTCGCTAGGAAACATCCGCTTCATTGGCGAGCTCTTCAAGCTGAAGATGCTGACGGAGCCGATCATGCACGACTGCCTCGTGAAGCTGCTCAAGACGCACGAGGAGGAGTCGCTCGAGTGCCTCTGCCGTCTGCTCACCACCATCGGCAAGGACCTGGACTTCGAGAAGGCCAAGGTGGGTGTGTGGCCGACACCATGGGGGTTCCCCACCGATTGTGGAGCGCGCGCGCAAGAGGGACGTGCCTTGCCGTCACGCGAACTCCGCTCATCCTCGCAGCAGCGGCGTCTTTTGCCTCCTGGCCACATTCTTAGCTCTTTCGGTAAAGTCACGTTGAAGGGAAATAATAAAATAATAAAATATATAAAACACTAAAACTTCTCACGACGTTTCGACCATAACACAACGGTCATCATCAGGTGTGAAATACCAACGGCAAGAAACATTTGAAAGAAGTGGCGGTTTGCATTTATATAATAATAAAATATAATATATATTTATATAATAATAAAATGCAAACCGCCACTTCTTTCAAATGTTTCTTGCCGTTGGTATTTCACACCTGATGATGACCGTTGGTGTTATGGTCGAAAGGTCGTGAGAATTTTTATTGTTTTATATATATATTTTATTATTTTATTGTTTCCCTTCAACGTGACTTTACCGAAAGAGCTAAGAATATGAATTACTGCAGTCACGAAAGCTTTAAATAAAAAAAGACGGGTCAACTCATTGCGCACTTTCGGATGCGCTTTTGCTGCCGTCTGGAACGCTGTTTTTCCAATATTAGCAAGCCACTCAAGCTATGCTCTTTTAAAGCCTCTCGATTGAAAGCTCGTTTCTTTAAATTCCTTTAAAGCTACCTTTTGCGTTTAGTTTGTCCTTCCGCACCTCCAATGAACACGGTTGACTACGTACAGTGCTAAAGAGTTCACCGTGCACACGTTGCTCATGAGGTGCTTGCCGATTCGCCGCCATGGTCGCAACTCTATTTTCGGCACGTGAACCGAGTGATCGGAGACAGGAACACAACCACTTTGCACCGTAACCGTAATGCAGTCTTAACTTGATGAAAATGCCACAATAAAAATTCCCTTCGAGTAAAATCGCATTGAGATTTATTCCATTGCCTTGAAAGGATACACACGTCATCGGAACGGGAAAGGGGTGAATGCAAAATGTGATGACTGTTGGTACTACTACAGTCACAATGGATGCGCTTTGTATTGTTGCAGCCTCGCATGGACCAGTACTTCCACCAAATGGAGAAGATTGTGAAGGAGAGGAAAACGTCGTCGCGCATCCGCTTCATGCTGCAGGACGTCATCGACCTCAGGAGGGTTAGTGCCGACCACCCCCCACCATGGCACTGGGGCGAGCAGAGAGGGTAGGACGGGAGGGAAATGCAGGTGGCTTGTGCAGGGTCACCTGAGGCGCGTCATCCATCGGTGGTGAGGCGGCAGGGGGGCACTGCGCAAACATGCAGATCACGTGGACCTCTGGAACCTAATCCTTCTATCGATATGAATGGCAACGACTTGAACAAGAAACACCCTTAAGTTTCACGAGAGTATTCATAATCTTGACTTTAAAAAAAATGCATGTGCTTTCGTGGTCGGTCACGTTGTTGAAATGTCTGCTCTGTCCGCCCGACCTCCAATGACTGCCCACTTTAAATATGGCACTTCATTTAATTTTGCTAAATTCCATCTCTGGGAGTTAAAATATCAGGATTACAGTCGTGCGAAGATAATTACACTCATGGCAGAGCGAGTAAGAAAGTGCCGCCCCCTACCGTGTTGTTATTTAGAAACATTTATTTCGATTACTCAGATTGTTTTGCTTTTATGAATTTCCACATGATAAGCCACTTTTGTTGAGCTATCATTTGTGGCCAAGTTGCTTCTGAAAAATAAATTAATAGCTCAATGGGATAGTTTTATTAGTACGTTTTTAAGTGATGTATTTACCCTTCCTATGCTTTGCACTCCTATTGTATTTTTGTATTGTAGCGTTCTTACCCGCCCTCATGGACATCTGTGAAAGATAACTTTATAGCTCATCGGTTTCCTCCAGTATAAACAAATATTCTGATTCTAACCAAGTTACTTAAAGGGCTCTCAAAGCCCTTTATATCTGATATCCACTTCTGATATCCACTTCTGCGGGCTGTTGTGTTACATGAAAGGTTGCACTCTGCAAGAGATCCTGCTTGTATCGTTCATCTCTTATGTGACATTTACAACATCAAATTTGAGAATTATTTTTTTGTCTACCATCACCATCCTTACTGCAGTATAGTCAATACTGCTATTCTATTTATGATTTATTTAGCACCATTCGTTGATTGCAGTAACGAAGGGTCCTCACGAGACCGATTCTCCCTGCACACGTGACCACGGGACGCGCTGACCTACGCTGCTGCTGTTGCTCGCGGTTTATAAAAGCACGACGTCATTGCGACAGCAGCAGGGGGCGCCTCTGCGACGTCGTCGCTCGCGTTCGGTTCCGCGAGTCCGCCGTGCCGCTCGTCGATAACGCGGTGGTCCGCGATTCCGTTTGTCTCGCGTGCGTGCAGAATACCTGGGTGCCGAGGCGAGGAGACCTGGGACCCAAGACCATCGAGCAGATTCACCGCGAGGCTCAGATCGAGGAGCAGCAGCAGCAGATGAGGGTGCAGCAGCAGCTCAAGGGACAGAGCCAGCAGATGGACAAACGTGGGACCGGCCGAGGAGGCCCCAGCTTGCACACAGCAACGGGTAATTGCCGCGCAGCAGCTCGTGGTGACGCAAGTTTCTGCGGTCACGACCACCACGCGCCATCAGAGGGATTCGCCACTGGCGGCACAGTTGGCACCTCTCTGCCACTTGAAAATAAGTTGGCTCCACGCACACGTACTCTCCTCCCTTTCCCCTTGCCTCCATCGCTCAACTCCCCCCCCCCCCTCCACAATGTACAGCAGGCAAGCGCCACCTCGCAAATATTTGTTGCAGTAGTAATTTCGGGGTGCGTCTAACCATCCTCTCTTGTACACTTATCACCATTTGTTCCATTTCCTCTGTCGCTGTCGATATTTCTGCTTGAATGCATGTGCGCTTGCGCGCTTGTCCCATGCACCTGTGTTTACCTGTGTGTGTACTTGTGTGTACCTGTGAATAGCGGTGCGTGGGCCACCCCAGCCAGACGAGGGCTGGAGCACAGTTCCAATTAACAAGAGCTCCCGAGGTCTCGACCCCTCCAAGCTCAAGCTCTCGAAGGTAATCACCCGTCTCTCCAGTCACCTCGAGCAGCTATGTCTAAAACTACGCGGGGTCTCACTATCATCGATGTCAGTGACCACCCTGTTCATGTGCTTGCTTCCATCTGATATGGGTGGCTCGGAGATAGATTGATCGGCTCTCGATCGCAAGGTTGATTCAGCAGATTAGCTTTCTGGGGTCAATAAAATGAGCACCACTTTGTGGGGAAGCCAAACACTATGGATAAACTCGCCCCCTGCCATAGGAACGCAGAATTTCCACCATTGGCACTGGGATGAAAACAGGAGTTAAGCATTGCCTTAAAATGCTCACTTGAGCAGCAAATCTCCGACTTTTTGAGTTCACGCCTCGAGGTGGTACAAGCCACGAGGAAAAACCTGTTGCCGTTTCCCTGCGTGTTCTTACCTCCGTACGAAACCGTACGACGAGCGGTGAAAGCTGGGTTACATTATTACACGTCGTTCACGCGTGCCGATGCTGCTGCACCGCTTTTGGGGATGGCCACGATTGTTCACCGGGACTTTCCACGCACGTGCGGTGCCGCCCGCGAAAGCGGAAACTGTGAGCACTCGTCGATTTAAATGTCCGCGTCGCCCCGATCTGCGCGTGCAAACGATGCCGAGCGCTATGCTCTGTCCCGTCCGCTGTGCGCGCACTAGCCGATGTCGGATGACATTCAGCTGGGACCTGCCAACCGGCACTGGGGAAAGGGCAGCAGCGGCGGCATTGGATCCAAGCCCATTGAGACAGGTAAGAGTCCGCAGCACCAACTGTGAGTTCGATTATGGCTGGGGGGGTGGGGGGAGCCACGGGGATGCAGCAACAACATCATCATTATCGTTGTCACACAAAGATCATCACACACAGGCGTCTGCTTGTTTACCGGGCTGAGTTTATGTGCGTGATCATGACTCCTGCCCTTGGTGCCGTTAGCTGCCTGGCGTGCCAGACGTTCTAGAAATAATTAAACAAAACACCACAAGACTTCTGCTGAAATCCAGGAAGCCGCCACCAGGCTGGCCATACTGGGATATTCAATTTCACAGTCTCATTCTTGTTGATTGGGACTGTGCTCCAGCTGTTGTCACTTGAGTTCCTGGAACCACTTGATGCCTGCCTTCCTACCTTGCCTTCCTTTAATCCCACCCGTCTCGAATCACGCAGCCTCTCACCGCTCTCCCTGCCACAAGTCACGAAGCACCCCCTCCTACAATGTAATTTAATTATTGTCATTGGTGGCATCTTATTAGCCCCTACTGGACATCTGTGAAAAAGAGCTTCGTAGCTCATCGGATTCCTCCAGGATAAATAAAGATTCTGATACTGTATGTATGTTGCACTTTCGCACCGTATGGAAAGACCCTTCTGTGTTTTGTGCACTTTGGCGAGGGCATGCTGTCAAGGTTGCTGTATATTTTTCCTTCTCTAGTGACTAAGCGACGCACACTCACCACCATTCTCACGCACGCGTGCACGTGTCTGTGTGTCTGTGTGACTGTGTGTGACTGTGTGTGCGCACGGCGCACGCATGCAGAGTTGGGCCAGAGCAGCGGCGGCGTCGGCACCGCCCCGAACCGTTACTCGGCTCTGCAGAACCAGATGGCGCAACCTCCCTCGGAGAGCAGCGACAGCCGGAGACCAATCAGCAGGTCAGACAGCGGCGCGTGCCAGTACCGCCCCGGCGTGCCGGGTGACTAAACATCCCCAGATGTCGGCACTCGGGGGGGGTCTGCATCTCGGGTTTCCATCAGCCCGTCGCCTTTGCGGGGAGTTTAACCAAAGTGAACATGGGGGTACTGTGGCCAATAGCATTGCTGACTATTATTGAGTAATTATTATTTGCGAATCCACATACTTCGTTGGGGCTGAGTTGATGTGTAGGAGGCCCAATGCAGGGTATATGTTCAATATCCCCCTGGGAATTTTACTCAAACAGAATTTTCATCCTGGGTTTACCAGAATGGGGAGCACAATGTGAGAGCCACTAGTACGCCTCTCCCTGCTTGGCACAGCTCCGTCGTGCATTGGAGCTCCAGCTTGTACTTCCTTGTCTTCAGGGTGGCCTAGTCTCGAGTGCTTGATACCAAATTGTCTCATACTTAATCGCACACTAATAGTCTTCCCAATGACTTAACGTGGTTGCTCGCACATCACAGACACGGTTAGCACATAGTTTAGGAGTTTCCCCATGTGCAGGCCCTGTAATAGCATACGTAGGGCACTTGCAGGCAAGTAACGACATGCTCAGATGCGTCAGACCATGCGCAGGCATAGCTTAGCATAGCACACTTGGTCATGCGAGCAAGCAGCCATTAATCATGCCCCACCTTGCCGCATAAAAGCACCAACAAAGACGGACGCATACAAATTGTGGCACCAATGCACAGACATACAGGGCTATGCATCCATAATAGATATTTTTTTGGTTTAGATTGCCTAAATATATAAATGTGTCGTTAAAACTCGCCACTACCCGACAGCCAACTAGTAAAGGTTGTCACGTCAACAGAACGTGTGTTGGAGAATACGACGTTTCGCCAGTAATTACAACTCGCTTCATCAGGCGACAGACTGATGAAGCGACCACACTTCTGAGCTCTTGCGCGAAGTGAGTGGAGGGGGGGGGGATGAATCAACGTACATTATGCATGTCCATTATGCGAGCCCTTTTATTTTGTCCTTGCTGTCCATTGTGTATTAAAATAGCCTACCAACGCTATCCCTATTGCACTATGGTGCCCTTTATAGGCATGCATTTAAACAATGTTTTATGTGATGATTCGTACTGTGAGAAAGAAGTTGAACATGCATACAAGCTTGCACCTCTCCATGTTTCATTGCGCACTTTTTAGCTTCTCTTCCGTGTTGGTCAGTGTCTATATTTGCAATCCATGCGTCACTCGTTTAAACTCCATCTTTAATTTTAGTTTCAACACTTTCAACGCGGTGCGATTATCCACGGCGTACTGCACATACCGTCTCCCGTCTCGCACCGCACCGCACCGCAGGGGCAGCACTGGTCGCGACCGCCCTGAGCGCGTCGAGCGCGGCATGGAGAGGAGCGCGCGGCCGCCTGGTCCCACGAAGCGCAGCTTCAGCAAGGAGCAGCCGGACGAGCGGAGCCGCGAGCGCAACAGCGAGCGCGAGGGAGCGGCGAGAAGGGCGGGCGGCAGCAGCGGCGGTGCCGGGCAGCACGAGGAGCGGGCGCGGGAGCGTGAGGACGAGCGCAAGCAGCAGCACAGGACGCCCAGCGCTGGTGCGTGTTTCGCCCCGTGTCCTCCACGGCCGTGTCCCGACCTGCACCTACCCCTGTCTCCAGCTTGAATATTGAATGAGTCGAGTTGAACATGTAACGTCCCCCAGTGTGGTTGTTCTGGCGGCTTACTGGATTTCGACAGAAGTTTCATGGTGGGGTTTTTGTTCAGTTGAACCCAGAGAATAATTTTTCAATGAATATTTTGCAGGTTTGCTGGTTGACTCGAATAGGTGAGAAGTGGTAACTGCAGCCATCTAGAGGTATATTGGTTGTAATTGTGGGGGATGGAAATATTTCCTGGGTTCGCCGACCCAGACGCATCTTCTGCCCGGGTTGATAAAATGGTTCCACTTTGTGGAAGTCTGCAGTGGCAGTGTTATTAAGAAAATGGCCCTCGCCACATAGGCACGTGGTATATTAACCACAGTTGGCTCGGAAGAGCAGCATGAAGACACTGACGGCGCATCGCATAAACCCAAGGTCGCCGCTCACTTGCGGCGTGCTTTGAGCGAAGTGTGACGCTCGCGAGCGTGTGTCCGTGGCTGTGATGCAGGCAAGGAGGAGGTGGCGACGCCTGCCGCGCTAACCAAGCCGGCCCTTAGCGAGGAGGAGGTGGAGAGGAAAGCCCAGGCCATCATTGACGAGTTCCTGCACATTAACGACATGAAGGTGCGCATGGGCCTCCAACGCTGCTGCTGCTGCTGCTAACTCTATCCCTCACTATATTTGAAGTGTAATGGAGAGCAAAGCCCCAAGTCTCACCCTAATGTGTGGTGACCCATACCTTGATCTGTTTTGTTGCTGTAAATTAATTGTACATTTGTGATAGCCAGGTCGCTTATAAGAACAAAAAATCCGTATAGCTCAGTGGGCCTTACCTGGTAAAATAAAAAAAAAATTGTTTAGTTTGTGGTTTTAGTTTGTCAGACGGCTCTGGGTGGGAGGGGGGGTGCTTGAGCGCGGCTGGGGGCCTCGGCTGCCCCTCATCGCTGACAGGGCACGTTTGTCCACGCACGATCGTTCGGAGCAGGAGGCGGTGCAGTGCGTGATAGAGCTGCACTCTCCCACACTGCTCTACGTGTTCGTGCGGACGGGCATGGAGTCGACACTGGAGCGCAGCACCATCACGCGCGAGCACATGGGTCAGCTGGTGGCCCAGCTGGTGCTCAGGGGTGCCATGACCAAGGCGCAGTACTTCAAGGGGTGAGCCTACCACGCACGTGCCCGATCACGTGCCTCTTCCTGCTAATCAAACTCTTGGTCTTCTTCAATCACAACCCCCCTTGCTCATCACGACTGTTGGGACACCTCCCGCTCTTGGCGCCTCAACGTGTCGTGGCTGCCACCGCTGCCTACCAAGAATGTTTTGCGATCTTCTTGCCTGTGTCTCTCCACTCCAGCTTGTTCCATTCTTATCGCTTGCCCAGCTCATGCGTGGTGTCTGCCTCATCCTCTTGAGCGTTCTGCTTATCCGTCTAGCAACATGCGCAGTGGCCTGTCCACCGCTCCCGCTCACTCTCTGTACATGTTCATAAAATCGGAGCTTTGGTGTCCGGAATGCATTCATTGGCCCGAAAACTTGATTACCCCCCTCTAATGCCGCACCCTGCACTTCCGTGTCCACGGCTCTTGTTAAAATTAATATCTGCATTAAATTTTTCACACGTTCATTGCGGCACCATTATTCACCATCATTCCCTGTGCTGTCGTTTGCCCATACATCACCACTCTGGTCAGTGCAGGTTGGTGATGAAGGGGGGGTGGGGGGGAGTGGTGGCGCCGATCCTTCTATCCAATGATGTTGGCCTTGACGGCCACTTCAGCTCAGGTCACTGGCTGGGTTCATTACGCAGTGCACCACCAACCCACTGCGCCACCACTTCCCATCCAGCGTGCGAAACCTCTCTTCCCCAGTCACAGCCCCACGTGAATCAGAGCGGCGAGAAGTCAATTCCTGACGCAGCGCGGGGTGGCCTAAGCGTGGGGAGCTTCCGCGGCGGGCGGCACGCGTTGGGCTCGCGGTGTGCTTACGCGTGGCTCGTGCGCTTTTCAGGCTGGCCGAGATCCTGGAGTCATCCGAGGACATGGAGATCGATATTCCTCACATCTGGGTGTACCTGGGCGAGCTGATCGTGCCCATGGTAACGGAGGGGAGCATCACCCTGGAGGAGCTCTGCTCGTGAGTAGCACCGCCGCCCGCCGCACGTCCACCCAGGGAAATCTTGCAATGGAACTGCTCCCCCACCCCACCTGCCGACGTCTCGGTGGCGAGATGTTAACTCCCTCGCCTGGTATACAGGACGTAGGTTTGATCCCGACCCGGACGCATGTTTATTTGGAGTTTGGCATGTCTTTTTCCCCATGGTCGTGTGTATTTTTCATCCAAGTCCTCCGGTTTTTCCCTCCACATTTATAATCAATATACGTAAAGAGTATTTGGCTGCTGTAAATTTGCACATGATAAGCCACCTCATTGAGCTATCATTTGTGACCAGGTCGCTTCTGAAAAAGAGCTCGTAGGTCAGTGGGCTTTACCTGGTGAAATAAAAAGTTTATTCTTGGTTCTTTCGGTAAAGTCACGTAGAAGGGAAACAATAAAATAATAAAAACCACAACAAGAAAATTTGAAACATTTCTTGTTGTGGTTTTCACACCTGACGATGATTGCTCGTGTTGCAGTCGAAACGTCGTGAGAATTTTATTGTTTTACATTTTTATTATTTTATTGTTTCCCTTCTACGTGACTTTACCGAAAGAACCAAGAATATGAATCCCTGCAGTCACGAAAGCTTTAAATAAAAAAAAATAGTTTAGTTTAGTCTCATTTGCGCACACTCCCACCATCGCCGTTCACGGCTGTCGTAGCACTCGACTTGCGAGGCGCCTAAGTTAATATCCCCGCCGGCTGTCCTCACAAGAGCTCTGCGAGTTAGATTTTGACCTATGAACCTGGGCTGGCCTTTGCAGGGAGGTGGTGAAGCCTCTGCGTCCTGTGGGCAAGGCCGACATCCTCATGGCCGACATTCTGCTGCTGCTGTGCAAGCACATGGTGAGAGGCTTAGTGCGTGCGTATCTTTGTGCCACCCACTATGGCACGGTGGGGGGGCATGGCTGGTGCCTGTGCCAATCATTAGTCAACCCATTAACACCTGGGTCCATCTCCTGACCTCCTGTCGGTGAGCATTCGACACTTTCATGTGGCCTCAAAGAGCACCTTATCCTGGCATCAGTGCTGTGGTGATGTCACCTCCACTTTGTGGAGAAGAGTGGCTGTTGTGTTTGCGGGAACTGTGCAATGTGTACTGTGTATATGGGTGGAACCCGACGACCTAAGTTTGATTACCAGCCATGGTTCACATCGGTCGCGAGTGATATCAAAACCGGTCGTGAGCCCCTAGCCTATGTCGACTCATCCGTAAATCAAGCGCCTCTGCGCTGGCCACAGCCGCCACTCCTCCGCTGTTCTGTCCTCAGTAGGTGCTTGATAACAGAACTTAACCCATTGATGCACATTCGTACATTGAATGTGCATGCGCCTGCGTCGTTGTGTCACATTTCCCGCTTGTTAATTTGTTCCGGTCGTCTTTTCATTCATTTTGTGCTGGGCAAATCCAGTGGCCTCCAACGAAGTTGAAATTATGGCCCCATATGCGACACTTCAGTTTGTCATCTCCCCCGTGCATCGGATGTCCACGGTTGGCTACGTACGGTGTGAAAGAAGTTCAGCGTACATACGTGCAGACACTGAACGTGTACGGAATTGGACACATTTGGATTTCAGTTGGGCATATTTGTGAACGCTCCAGTGTGTGTACCGACTCAAAAGCATTCGGTGCAGCTTGGCTAAACGGCATTCCCATGTTGTCGACTTGAGGAGAGGTGTGCGTGTGAAACGCCTTGTGTGCACGCTGTGCGGTTAACCGTTGGCGCTGCGTGCACCCTCTTTGCTGCTTATCCTGCTTCTGCAGAGCCACACCAAGGTGGGGGCGATGTGGAGGCAAGCGGGGCTCAACTGGGCCTTGATCCTGCCGGAGGGAGACAACGTGACCAGGTTCATCACGGAGAAGGTGCGTGCAGACGGCACCGCGGCGCCCTGCATTGCGCCCACATGCTCCCCCCCTCCCCGTACCCTCGCGAACCACCCCCCTCCCCCCCCCCGGTCTTGGCGTGTCAAACTCTCCTCACTTGAATCGGATTGCAACGATAAAGAGTAAACCCTCATAACCCTGACTATCCTGAATCTTAGACTAAAATGTTTTATTTTACGAGGTAAGGCCCCCACTGAGCTCTATAGCTCTTTTTCAAGAGGGGCTATGGGCTCGGGGTTAGCCATGACCTTTAACGTCATAAGCCAGCCATATGCTGGAGGTAAATTTCAATCATCCGCACGCGGCAGTCACGGTGCAAGGGCTGTCTCGGTTGCAGCGCCGTGGGGCTCACCGCGTATGCGATTCTGCCTTGTCTCTCGGCGTCGCGCAGAAGCTCGAGTTCACGCTGCCGGAGGCCAGCGCCGCCGTGGAGGTGCCCGTCAAGAGAGCGGCCATGTCCATGGAGGAGGTGGAGCAGCATCTGAACCGGCTGCTGCAGGAGAAGGTCGACAACGAGAGGATATTCGACTGGATCGAGGTGAAGAGGAGTGGGGAGGGGGACACATGCACGCACACGCACGCACGCACACACGCACACACGCACAACAACAACCGCCATTCGCCACTATGTTACGGTGACGTCACCACGATGCTTGTGCCAGGCTATGTGCACCTTGAGGCCACGTGAAGTGTCGAACGCCCGCTGGCAGGAGGTCACGGGGCAGACCCAGAAGCCACAGGTCGACTGACTGAGACGACTGGCTGATGCACCACCTGTGCCCCCTACTGTGCCAACTTGCTGTGCTTTAGCCACCCGGCGCTCTGCTCATTGTTGTGAGCGTCGCTCCTCCGCCCTCCGTTGTTGTTGGAGGGCGACTGCCTCCCAACTGCCCAGAGGCCGATCTTGACACCGCTGGTACCAGTCATCGGCAAGTCCACTCAGCTCCACGTCCTCCTGTACCACATCACTCCATCTCTTCTCTAGCCCGTGCCGCGCCCGTTTAGCCCCCTCGATCCGGCCGAACAAAAGCTGTTTCGGCATGCAGTGGCTGGGCATGCGGGCTACATGACCCAGCCACCGCAGCCTTGCCTGCCGGAGGAGCTCACCGATGGGACTTTGTCCACATCTTTCAAGGATTTGTGAGCTCCTCACACAATCCAGCCTGGTTAAACCCAGGATGGATCGTAGGCAGGGCAGCCTAAATGTTTCTAACCGGCGAAGATGTTCCATTAGGGGTGTCCACGTTTCGCAGGCGTAGAGAAGGGAGGGAATGACCGTGGCCGAGAAGACCTGAAGCTTCGTGCGGAGTGATAGACCAGGTAGCTTCCACACAGCGTTACGCAACCGATGAAAAGATAATGTTGCTCGACTGATTCGGAGTGAGACCTCGGCTGTTAAACCGGAGCCGGTCATGAGCACACTGCCCAGGCATGGGAAACTATCCAATCTCTCCACAACTGTCCCATCACCGATTGGGAGTTGTGGGGGTGGAGTGCCCGATGGTACAAAATACCCAGGCAGGTGCTTTGTTTTGGTGGGGCTGATGGTAAGGCCCCACCTCTTAGTGGCACACTCCAGTTTCAGCAGGAGCGCCTCCAATTCCTCCTCTGAGTGAGCCGCAATTACCAGGTCATCGGCATACATAACGTGGTTGACCAATAGGGAGCCATCCCTTGACCGCACCCGGGCATTGATCAGCCTCCCATTGTATCTGTACTAGATGGAAATCCTTCCGGTACAGCTACTGAAGGCTTCACGAACTACGTGGTCGAAATAGATGTTAAGTAATGTTAGAGCCAGAGGACATCCCTGTCGCACCCTTAAGGTGAACAGGGAATGGCTCCGACTCCCGGCCACGTAGTTTTACCCGGGCCTGCTCACCATCATATGAAGGTCCTTAATGATCGTGAGCAGCGGGTCAGGGACTCCGAAAACACGATGAACAACCTAGAGCCCAGGCCTACTGATGGTATCGTAGGCCTTGACCAGGTCAATAAAGCAGAGATGTAGGTCTTGTTGGAATTCCCTACACCTTTGCTGTAGCAAACAGACAGAAAATATGGCATCTGTGCAGGACCGCCCTTTCCTGAAACTGCATTGGGGTTCCGCAAGCCTTTCCTCAGTGTGCCTAGCAAGGCGATATTGAATAATCCTTGCCAGGACCTTTCCCGGCACACTGAGGAATGAGATGCCCCTGTAGTTGTTACAGTCTCTGCGGGGTCCCCCTTCTTAAAGATGGGGACCACCAGGGCATCCTTTCAGTCTTGCGGAACCCGTCCAGTGGTCCAGACTATTGTTATGATGTCATGTAGGGCAGTCTGTGCACAAACGCCACCTTCCCTCAGCATTTCGCTTGGGGGATCATATCTGCCCGGTGCCTTTCCTGGTCTCAGACTCTGGATCGCCTTCAGTACTTCCTCAACAGATGGCACCTCAGACAGCCACTCACAGGGGGTGACTTCCTCTTCCAATATTTGAGGCACCGCAGCCTCAGCAGGGTCATCCCCACGATGTTTTGCATGTGGAGGGATTTCCCCTCCACCAGGACTTTACAGAAATGCTCAGCAAATCTGCAAACCTGTTCCTGGGGGTCGCAGATTGGATCACCGTTCTTTCCCCTAATGATGGTAATAGGTGTGGCGCTGCAGGTTACTTTTTTGATGGAATTAAATAGGGATTTGCAATCGCGGGCCATTGAGGCAGACTCCATCTCCTCAGCAACCCGCGACCACCACCCATCCTTGCAGCGCCTCACGGCTCTCCGAACCTCCGAGCGAAGGCTTCCTCATTCTCCGACGTGGGATGCTGTAGCCGATGAGAGTGGGCCTGTCGCTTTTTCCCAGCCAGCTTGAACACATCCTCTGTCAGCCAGAGTCTCTGGGGAGGTCTGGACCGCGTACCCAAAGCAGCCATTGCAGCTGCCTGAGTCAGTCCTCAACCTCACCCATTTACCCTCGACATCTGGAGGAGTGGGGGACGATGCCAACCCCAGCCGCAAGCGATGATGAAATCTCGCTTGCAACTTTCATCAGCTAGCTGAGACCAGGCCACCTTAGGTTTGAATGGGGTTCTGGGTGTCCACCCACCACCGGAGTGGAAGAATGGCTGGTGCATCTTACAGATGACTAGTCGATGGTCAGAGGGTAGATCAGCTCCACGGTAGGTCCTGGTGTCAAGGACAATGGGCTCGCATTCGCTGGTCCGTCACTATGTAGCTCAGCAGATGTTCTTGCTTGGACCCGGCATGCATCCATGATGTTGTGTGGATGCGCCGATGCCGGAACAGCGTGTTGGTAATTACAAGCCCATGGGCTGCACACAAATCTAGCAGCCTCCTGCTGTTGTTATTGAGCTGATATGACCCATGCCTTCCAATCACTCCAGACCAGGTGCCAGCATCATGACCAACTCGAGCATTGAAGTCACCCAACAAGATGACTCGATCCCGAGGGGCCACTTTAGCCAGCACCTGTGACAGGATGTCATAGAAGGCATCTGACTAATCGGCCTTGCCTGCATCCCTCCACTGATGTTCGTCTTTGGTGGGGGCATAAGTAACCACGACCACCACTCCTCACGTCTGGTTGATGGGAATGTGAGCCCAAAGTAGCCTGGGGCTTACAGCTTCCCACACCTCACCGCCACGCTCCCACGCCCCCTTCATTCTTTTGTTCAGAAGAAGAGCCACTCTCTGTTGTTTGGCAGTCTCCTGCCCCCAATAGAGGACTGTCCACCCTTTATGATGGCAGGAGTCAGAGCCGGTCCACCGGACCTTCTGAATGCCACAGAGATCCAGGCGGTACCGGTCCAGCTCCCGACAGAGGAGTGGGAGCCTCTCCTCCGCAGTGAGCGTTCGAACATTCCACGTGGCCATCTGTAGTGGCTTTTTGTTTCTGGAGGAGCCCCGAGGGTAAAGATTCAATCACCTGGCTCCGCCAAATGGGGTTTGGCCAGGGGATGTCATAGACGCCTGTCCCCCCCGGGGCCTCTGGCACAAGCTTGTTAATTACAGTTTTCAGTCGTAGTTTAGTGGTAGTTCATTGAAGGTGGAGGGGTTACCAGCCCCTTGCACCCGTCCAGAGCCCCCATTTAGCCGCTGTGGTGGTCACAGACGCCATGAGGGGAAAGGCCAATTGGAATTGGCCCTCCCCCCCACAGCACTGTCCACGACAGCTTTGCCTGTCTGGCACCACGAGGAGGTAGGGGGTTGTTTTACCGCACCAGACACGCGCGCACACACACACGCACACACAAATGCATGCACACACTCGTGCTTGCAGAGAACAAAGATCACCCGTGTAAACTTTTATATAAGCTGTTGGGACCTTCTTGCCAGTATCCAAAATTAGGAAAAATAAGAATGTTTTACTCTTCCGGGCATTACAACAGGAGGTTGTAAAGGTGTTCAAACACCAAATAAATAAGGCTTTTTCTGGTGTTGGCCAATTTGTTTCAAAGACAATGCATATATTATCATGTTTGTTGGCATATTTTTCCACAAGTACATGTGGTTAATGGAGACTTGATGCCTTGCAGAAGGTTTCTCTTTGGTGTTTGAGCATCCTTATTAACACCTGTTTGATTGCCCGAAAGGGTGAAACCTATTCTTATTTTTCATCCTTTTACATTCGCTGTTGGCGGTCACCTGTGAAGGCCACCACGGCACACAAGGACCTCCCCACCGCTGTTTCAGGGCCACCAAGTGGCGATGAGAAATAGCCAACAAGGCCCAGCTGGTTAACGCGTTTGCACGCAAAAAATCCCTGCCCGGCAGCCTTGCACATCAACTGTTGTGTGTGTGTACAGTGGCTGCTCCCTTGCTGCTGCCATTTACTGTCTCTGGAACTCTCCCTCTGGCTGCGTGTGATCGATGTCTTCCCACTCCTTCAGTCCAGTCTTAAGACTTCTGCTTACGACCGTTTTCTTCCGTGTCATTATATCTTGATTCGCACAATAACGGGCTGCTGTACACGTAATTGATGTCCCCGCTCCCTACATCTCAATATGCGCTGTCTTGAGATGTGGTTAAATTGCACTTTTAAAATTGTGTCTTCGACTGCGTTAATTTAAAGTAGTTTTTGCGAGTCCGACGTCCTCCAGTTGTGATACGACGCTGCCCTTGCGACCCCCGCTCATCGTGCATGTGTGCCCTCTGCCGCTCGTTATGCTCGCAGGTTAATCTGGAGGAGAGCCAGACTAAATCTTCAGCATTCATCAGGGCGCTCATGACGTCCTTGTGCCAGTGTGCGATCGGTGAGTTCCTTTGCATACATGCACGCACGTTTTACTCCGTCCGGGCTAAGGTCGACGTTATGCCTGTCCTAATCGGTGTGGATTAAAGCCCCTGTGGATTGGACCGGAATGAGAGCCTCACTGTGCCCATGATTCACCACCCCCTGAACCCCGCACTCCCCGTGTGCTTTGCGTATACATAGCCGAATCTCCGTGTCTCAGTAAGCTTCTGACAAGGCCGACCTTTAGAATTGATGTCGCAAAATAACCGCCACGTTCCTGGCATGGACACATAGGTTGCTCTTCATCCGTGTGGCGTGTATAAGTCTATTGCTAAGTTCTTTCCCGATGTAACTAATCTGGACATTGGTGTCTGCGTTGCGTGTGGCTGGGACGGATAGCAGCTTTTAACGTCCATTGTCCAGGAAGTGGATTCGGGTGACATGCGGTGGATTGCTTAAATGGTTCCCCAGCTGGAGTCTTCCCCGTATGCCACAGTGCTCCTCCGCGCGCCGTTGTAACTCCTCACCCCCCGTTTCTTCCACGCTGTGCCCCACCCCCACAGAGGACCATAGAGCCCAAGTCACCGAAACCCCGACCATCACGAGCAGAACGCGGATACTGATCAAGTACCTGGATGGAGACGCCACGCGGGAGCTGGAAGCACTTTATGCACTACAGGCTTTGATTTTCAAGCTCGATCACCCCCCAAGTGAGTAGCGCGCCCGCTCGCGTCGCTCAGCTCCTCGAGGCGCCATGGCGATCCGGCACGAAGAGCTCGTGCCCGGACAACCGCAGCCCGTCTCCCTCTCCCGGGGAGAGTTTTTTTGCAAACGCGAGGAACTACGAGCAAGGAGGAGTGTTGCCTTGCCAATGCCTAGTTAGCCCTGGTACCTGCCCGTGTACCAAAGTCTTCAGTGGCCCAAGCGAGGGCCCATTTACCAATGTGGAATTTGGTTGATGGCTAAAGCTCACGTTAGGATGCTGTAGTGAATAATACCGGGGCTTGTAACTTGAGCCTGTCAACGGGTGGAGTGACAACGCAGTGAACCCCACCCGACCGGCTGAATTGAACTTGTCAAGCCTGTCCTCGTAGCGATCGCTGTTCTGGTAGCAGTTACTGGTGGCGGCAATCCCGTCCTCCGACAGAAAGGCACTCTCGTTCGTTCAGCCACTGTGCCTCACATGAACTGGGCTAGTCTCCGCTGCGAGTGCTGCTAATGCCCTAGTCCAAACTGCTCTCTTCTGTTGCACTGCTGAGCCATCCGTTGGCCTGGGAAGGGGGGGTGGCGTTCTCATGGGATAAGTGCTGAGTGGGTTCAATTTGTTGGCCCTCCAGGAGTGATAGGTCTGAGGCAGCATTTCTGAAGCTCTTTCTAGTACTGCCAAACTTGGGAATTGATGCATTTTTGCAATTTAAACATACTTTATGCTTATATATTTATTTTTACTGATTTGCTTGCCATTCCTATACTTTGCACTCCTATTGGCTTTTTTGCATTCTAACTTTGTGACCCGCACCTACTATGTATGTTGAACGTCTTTCGCATCGGATGTAGCCAACCGTGTTAAGCGGAAGTGCGGATCATCTTTGGAAAAAAGAGCGCCATAGCTTAGCTCATCGTATTTATCCAGGGTAAAATAAAGATTCCCATTCCGTACTGCGCCAATCTGGTGCTACTTGTGGGCATGTTGCCTGCCGAGCGGCCGCCGTTGAGGCCGCCGTTGAGACGAACGCGTCACGGTGACCTTGTGCCGCCCGCCCATGTCACCCTCGCCCCCCCCCCACCGGTGCGTGCGTGCAGAGGTCCTCCAGACACTGTTTGACAACCTCTACGACGAGGACATCATATCCGAGGACACTTTCTACCAGTGGGAGACGAGCAACGACCCGGCCGAGCAGCAGGGCAAGGGCGTCGCGCTCAAGTCCGTCACCTCCTTCTTCAAGTGGCTCCGCGAGGCGGACGAGGAGTCCGAGGACAACTGAGAGACGGACGGACGGACGGCGGCGGCGGCGGATAAAAATCGTTAAATAAAAAAAACTACGCATCCTGCCCCAAGTTTTATTTTTGGCTTTTTATTTTCATATTTTGGGGTGTTTACTCCCTGTTGTGTTGCGGCACGTGCGCGCGCCTGCCCGCCCGCACGCACCTCTCGGATCCCGACCTGCACTCTTCTTTGTCCATCAGCCTCTGCCGCCCTCTTCTAAGTGGTCGACCGCCCCCCCGCCCCCGGGCTGCTTGGCGATAATGGCCGACACAAGCGAAACTGTCGCTCGCGATGCGTTTTGAGGATTTTGCGAGGTACCAGGTGGGGAGAGGGAGGAGGCCCTCTCTCTCTCTATCTCTCCTCATCGCCAGGGCTGAGTTTCCAAATTACGAGTTTCCCCGAGTTGTTGAAAACATTTCCTGACTTCATTTCCACCTTTTTTTTTCTTTCTGATTTTTTTGGGTTTTTTTTTTCCCTTTGTTATTAATTTCAGCCGAACGGATATAAAATGGTCGTGGAGGAGTCCGTTAACTAATGATAGGCGCGCAATGAGATCAGTATTTATGTAGTTCCACCGGCCAGGCGAGCGGCTGCTGCAAACTGCCGCCGCACCATCCCCGTCCCCACCCTCACCGAGCTGTAGTTCGGCGTTGTCTGGCGAGTGCACACCAAGCATCGGCAGAAGCGGTTTAGAATTGTTGAACCCGGAGTCTTAAACCCCCCCCCTCTCTCCACATCACCGACCGCAAATCAAACCATTTTCACTTTTTAATATAGATCGACTGATTTATCGTGTTCGTTTGCATCTTTTTTTGACAAACTTGAAAAAGCCTGAGGATTGTCAGGATAACTAATCATGATTACTCTGCATTTTTGTTTTTGTTCGTGTTTAAAAACAGAAACGTGATTGGGTTTTTTTTTCCCTCTTCCCTCCCCCTCGCGTCGCTCCACGCGAAAGCTGTCGTTGAACGTGACGACTACGGGCGGCGCCTTAGGGCGGCGGGGTGGGGGCACGGTGAGAGATGACATCACAGAGCTGTATTTATTATTATGGCAAAAAAAACGTTTTAAGAAATACACTTTTTTTCTCTTTTTGTTAAGTGCTGGTTAAATCGCAAAAAAAAAATTCCAGTTCTCCGAAGCTTTATGAGAAATAATACGTATGGAAAAAAGTATAAAAATACAAAAATAAGTTAAAACGTAAAAAAATATATAAAGAAAATTAAGGGTTACCTTAATTTATTTTTTAAAGTCCACACTTGCTCAGTTTGTTCGATCAATTTAGAATTTCTATTTAAGACAAAAATAAGTGCTGTAAAATAGACCTTTTCCCAGTTTTCGCCTTGAAACAAAGATTACTTAAACTCTAGAGAACGCAAGAATAACGAGTGCAAGGAAGAGGCTGGACTCGATAGAATCTTTTTCGCTTATTTTTATGATTTAGATTTTTTTTTTTAGATCCTCGATCCCGCTTGGGCTTTTTTTTTTGTGGCTTTTGGCGACAGAGGTTAATAACTCTGTCTAAAATCGATGCAACAAATGAGAGGCGAGCCATTGGATTGTGAGAAAATCGCGCTTTGGCTTCTGTGGAGAAGACCCCCCCCCACACACCCACCCCGGAGAGACAGGGAGGGTGGTTTTCTTGGTGCGTCGCAGCAGTGCGCTTTCTTTTCTCTCTCCCCTCCCCCATCCCCCGTTCCTCGACCTCCGACCTTTATCCCACGTTAATAATAAAAAGAAAACAACAGATGCAACAGCTGGGGGCAGTGGGGGGGGGGAAAGAGAAAAAAATTGTACATACGAGATGCTGAATCGAGAAATATTTAATAAAGGTTATAACCCTCTTTTCACTTTGGAAGCAACACAAATAAAAAGACGCTCTTGCAAAAGAATATTTTCAAGTGTGCGGGGTCTGCTCTTGGCAGCGTTCACTATGAGCTAGTAAAAAGTGGATTAATGTGCCTATCAGTTCTTACGATATATGTAAAACGAATAAAATGACATACGATGAGCATGTCCCGTTGATTTGTATCTGCAGTCATTTTGCTCACGACAAGGTGGTGGAGGGGGGGGGGGGGGTCATCGTACGATCGTTGCACGTGGAGGGGGGGGGCAGCAACTTAACGGGGTGACGCGCGGTGGTTTGCCGTGGAGACTGAACTCTTTTGAAAGCCGGGGGGGGGGGCCGGGGAGCGCCGCCATCGCTCTACGAGTTGCATCGTGAGGCTGCTGCCACCTCTCCGGTGGGAGTTGTGTGTACACACGGATCCCTTGTTGCCGGGAAAAAGACTGATTTATAGTTTCTACTCAGGCACTTTTATTTCATCCTCAACCCACCCTCCTGGTTAAACAACCGACCGACAGTAGCTATCAGGAGGTACTCGTCGGATTGTTCAATTCACCTCGGGGAGGTGGCTCGTTTTGAGTTTCCGTAATTCTCGGTTGAACTCAAGCGTGAGAGAGGGGGGAGTCGTGAGATGCGCCGAGTTCCGCTTGAGGGGGAAACCGCTGGTGTTGCGGACCTCACTTGAAGGGGTCCTTCCTGGGGGACGAGAGAGCACATTTCACTGCTCACTTCAGCCCCCCACACACACACACACATCTCTACGCATTCTCGTTCGGTTTGCATTGTGTAAGCATCCTGCATCGGCGGTGTGTGGTGCTGAATGCATCTCTCGAGCCGAGAGAAACCCGGGGCGCGTGATTTGCCTTTGCTGTGAGCGCGCATGCGCCCTGCCCTCCTGCAATGTAAATGTGCCAAAGCACCACTTTAGTTTCCCCAAACTTTCTTGCGACGTTTTATCCCCCCCCCCCCCCAGCGAGGCAAGGGCAACGTTCTGCTGACGTTCACGGCGGTAACGTGTACAGTGCTGTGCTGTCTTCTCTCTTTTTTTTTGCAACCAATACACAATTGAAATGCCATTTTGTTAAATAAAAACAGATCAATGGTTTGGCTCTCGTTGACAATTTTTAATAACCGGCCATAGGTTGCAGAGACGTTCCGGTGCAAACGGCGTTTGCCGATAGCCAACGTCACGGACGCGTCTTGCGTTGCAGATAGCTAAGGAGGAGGGGAGGGTGATATCCTTTAACTCTGGTTTATTCACATTTAGCGCAGTACGAGTGAGAATTATCGCAGAGTTGGGTATACCGTGTATACAATGCAACTCTCCCTGCTGAGAGGCGCGAGATTCTGCACGGTGTCACTTCAGCCGAATGTTGAAATAAGTGTGGAGCCCGTGTCGTTGATGAAACAATAAAAATGTTCCCAATTCGCAGCCATCGAGCGAGCACGGACAGTGGGAGGGGAGGCATTGAGCCGGCGCCCCCAATATTTGCCCGAGCGCTCTGCTTCTGTTTTATATGGTAAGACGTTTTCGGTCAATGAGCGTTTCACGGGGGATGTGACGAGCACATGGAGGAAAACCCCACGTGGGTGAGGGGGGTTCGGCAGTCCTGCCTCGTACAGAAGGGGCCGCGGTGTTAGCCCGCCCTTGTTAGCGCCTTTTCCTGGCGAACCTGGGGTAGGGCACCTCGCCACTCGTGTGTCGGCCACCAACCCTCACCACCACCAATGCTGGATTATAGGCGCGCGCCACTAGAATTGCATCCGCATTTGATGGAACAGTTAATTGAAACTTGGGTGTTTTACCATCCTTTACATGTATTAATTTTCTAGCGGCGTGAACCAAGAGTCACGGATGGTGTTGAGTAAAGGGGGGGGGGGGGGGGCGTGATTTTGCTTCATGCCCAGCATTCGCTCATTGTCTCCGAGGCCCGTACCGAGCCGTGCTTCATCCCCCGGCTGCTGTTGGGAAGACTCGCTGCCACGATTCTGCCTTTGCACTTACGCGCGTTGAACCTTTTTCGCGCTGTACGTAGCCAACCGTGCCTATCGGAGGTGCTGGAAAGTCTACAAGGTAAAGGTGTGGGGAATCTTCAGAGTTTCTTTTCAGGATTGGTCGAGGCACAAAGCCCCCTTTCAAATCTCACTGGCTGATGTGTACACGTGTGCTGGGGTCACAAACCCATTTCAGGAGTTGGTTAATAAACATTATTTTTGCCCCGCAAGGACCAATAAAACTAAACGCAAAAAGCAGTTCTAAAATGAGTTTTCAATCTAGCTTGAAAAGTGCATAGCTCCTCGTGGCTTCCTGATATCCAAAGGGAAGGAGCGTTCCAGACGGCCGCAGAAGCGCATCTGAAAGCGCCGCGAGATGAAAGCGCTCGTGAGAAAACGGGGCCCAGTGCGCAACCTGGCGCTTCGCGTGGCGCTGCGTGGAGAGAGGGCAAGCTTCGGGGAGTTATGACCAGCTCGTCATGCTCCTCGTATGTGAAACGTCAGTACTCGAGTTGTGAACGTTGTGGGTTTGCTCCAACACACCGGTGTGCTGATCATCAGCATGTGCATGCCCCCACGGGGCGTCGCAGTGTCCCCACGAGCCGCCACCAGGCAAATCCTATCCCGCGCAAGCCGCCACGCCGATTGCAAGCCGAGGCCGTGGTGTCGAAGATCGGCCTCGAACCGTGCGTGCCCGCGTCAGGCCGTGGTCTGCCCCGGGGTGCGCCTCTCCCAGTCCCGCGGTGGGCTGTCGACGACCGCGCGCAGCTGCTCTGGCGTGGTATGTCGATGCCCAGCCTCAAGTTTTCTGGCTCTGGCCGTTTCGTGCACAGGCGGGCATCCCGTGCGAAGGCGTTGGTGATGCGTTCACTGAAGTCGATGCGGAGTATCCGTCGCAGGCGCGCACCGCTGGTCGAAGGCACCCAGCTTCTGCTCGGGGACGCATTAACCACAGTTGTAAGGGGGGAGGATGATGTGTATGCATCGTCAAGTCGAATATTTGTTGCTGTTGTAATAGCGGAGCGCCAGCTGTGTCTGTCGTGCTGTTCCGTGCACTCGCGTATAATTAAGATTCGCCTTTTTAATCTCTACCTCGCTGCTTCCAGTGTGTTGCATATTGCAGCCGCGATAGGTGAACGATTTTACCAATTCAACGTTGTTGCCCGCTATTTCCACTTCGGGCAATTTGTGTGGCTTGCTCATCAGTGGTCTGTTTTTTGTTTTAGCCCAGTTTATTTCCAGACCAAATGGGAAGGCTTCGCCGTGCATGTACTCCAGGGCTAGGAGTAAACCTTCAAGCATTTCATCATGCAAGGTGACATCTTCTGCATCGTCCAGGCCGGTTACTCCCAGAGGGGCCTTTGTGGGACCCTGCGCTGCTGTATCCAGTCCAGTAGGGGGCAAGGACCAGGTTCGGGGCAACGGTTGCAGCCTTGCCTCACGACGCTTTTCGTCCATGGGGCCAGACCAAAAAAATAACTTATTGGTACCACGTAAGGTGGCAAAGTCTCGTAATGATTTTTGTTATCCTCCACGTGTGTGGGACATTCTGATATAACCTTTGCAGAGTGGCAGCTGAGTTGTAGTTACCATGACTTTTATACCCATACCCTATGACAGGCGTCTGGAAAGATTAAATGGACATTATTACTTAAAAACTCCCTAGACCAAAGCCAGTTAGGTCACAAACTGATCTTTATTGGTTTACATACACAATGAAAACACAGGATAAGGAATACCATAGTGAGGTAAGGAACTACTTGAATATTAAACATTGACATTTGCATATACTTAGTCAATCTAACCTATAAATGTCACTGTTTGTCTATGTGTCTGTGTGTGTGCGGCTCGCAAACCGTGGGGTTTACGTAAAAAAAGTAGCCAGGTACCAGGCCATAAGGCCCGTGCTGAGCTAGCGCTATCCCGATTTCGTGTCTGTCACCTTTAAGCTAAATCTTGACTTAAAGCTTTAGTGACTGCAGGAATTCATATTATTTGGGTCTTTCGATAAAGCCACGTAGATATAAAAATAATATCACGACGTTTCGATCGCAACACAAGCAATCGTCATCAGGTGAAAAATATAGCGGGAGAGCTGCTGATGCAGGAAAAAATATATGGTGGGAGCGCTGCTCTGGCAGGAAGTTATAAAGGTTTGAGATGGGGGTAGCCCAAGGGTCAGAGGGTGGGGCTAGAGATTAAATTTGCATGTAAATGTCAGATCGGAGAAATCTTGACAAACGAAGCTGTGGGGGTGGCCATTGTGCGAGATTAGCATGTCAATGTAAGAAATTTGCTTGTAAATGTAAGCTTGGAGAGAGCTCGAAAAGAGCCATCGCCACATGGAGTTGGAAAAGGATGGCAAGCTGCCATTTACTAACGGTGGCTGTGTTAGTGAATGTAACTCAGAGAGTCGAAAATAACTGCTAATATAGGTAGGTAGGAAGTGAACAACACAGCCAGTTATGACCTAAACTATTTAATAACGTCCTTCCAATTATTTCTAAGTTTATACCCATCTTCTCGGTTGAAAGTGTCTTTATATATCTGGATGGCTTCATGAACGAATCTTTGCTGATAGCCAGTGGGTTTGCAGAGTACCCTCGTCTTGGCAAAATAAATTTCGTGTGCCCACAGCGTTAAAATAATGGTCAGCCACGGCTGAGGAATTGGTCCTACCGCGTTTCAGATCTGCCTTATATTCACGAACCCGGTGCGAGACATGTCGCTTAGTTTCCCCAATGTAACTGCTGCCGCAGACAGCTTAGTTTGTAGACACCGGGGTATTGCATGTCAGGGATCACATCCTTCACAGATGGGATAAAATCACTAATTTTATGTACTGTGTTGAATCGTACCTGGATCTTGTGTTTGCTCATATTTTTGGAAATATTTTTGGTGACCCCTGCTATGTATGGCAAGGTGATGATTTTGATCGGGTCCTCAGATGGTTTTCCCAATGGTTGGGGTGATAGCTTTACGGATTGTGTAGTCTGAATATCCATTCTTCTTGAGGGCTTGGTGTACGTGCTCCAGTTCACTGGCTAGTTGGTGATGGTCGGAAATACGAGCTCTATGGTATAGAGTTTTGATGAGGGAATTCTTCTGGGGTGGATGGTGGTGGGAGTCAGGTTTCAGGTAGGCATCCGTATGGGTGGCTTTCCTGTAGACAGAGTCC